TTGTCCCATAGGTGTTGTCTTGCCTCCAGGGAAGGCTCAAAGGTAGGTGGGAGCTGGGCTAGCCTGGAGACAGCATTTGTTCTGCAGTGGCTGGGCCTGTCTCTACACGACAAGTCAGGTATGATGGTATGAAGAAGTACCTGGACTCAGATTATTTCTGTATTTCCAGTCATTAAACTCATGTAAATGTACACTGGTTGCTCTCTCTTCCCTCCGAATAACCTCTATGCTTTTCAGTTACAGAGAGCAAAAAACTGGTTTCTCTCAATCTTCTCAATTCAGCCAATCTACTCTGATCCAATAGTAAACCATTCCTATGGTTAGGATGCCACCCTCTATCTCCAGTACAGAACAACAAACCCCTGTGTTGCAAACTTAACACAACAAACAATACAAGCAACATGAAGACCAGTTTACTAGATAGCACTGCAATTCTTATTGCGTTACATGATTTAGTACAACAAAAACAAAATGTGTACACTTGTGAATTCTCTAATATATTTGAAAGCGAATGGACACACGTCTGTCAATCTTTGAAAGTCCGTAGACTTTTGCCCACAGGATAACATCTATTACTTTGTTTCAACCATAGACTTATTATACTTCTACGGACTTTCAAAGATTGACAGACGTGCGTTCATTCACTTTCAAATATATTAGAGAATTCACAAGTGTACACATTTTGTTTTTGTTGTACTTACCTTCTATCTCCAGGGCAGAAACGAAGTAAACACATAAGCACAACATGTGAAAAATTGCCCTTTTTACTGGCCCAGGATCAACTCATTTGCCCTATGGAGGAAGAGATATGAGAACACAGCTCCTATCTCTATAAGGACTCTCAAAATATAATTTATGGTGTTAGTGTGTTGTCCTTCCCACAAGGAATTCAGGGTAGCAATACAGGAAGCTCTCACATTTTATCCTCACAATGACCCTGAGAGACACAACAACTGGGATAAGGTTGAAAAACTCACATTGGAAAGATTTAAAATTGACAGTGCAATCCAGTGAAACAATCCCATCAAGTTCAGTGGATTTTATTCCAAGCTAAGTGGGTGTAGAATAGAAGGTGAAATAATTGAATTGAATCTCCTTCATTCCTCTTTGCAACTTCCTCAGGGGAGCCACCTGTCTTGTGCAATTCTATATACATGTACTCAGAAGTAATTCCTACTGAGTTCTGTAATACTTGTCCCATGTAAAGCGGTATAGAATTAGAATTTAATTCCTATAGCCCAGGCATGGCCAAACTTGGCCCTCCAGATGTTTTGGGACTACAATTCCCATCATCCCTGACCACTGGTCCGGTTAGCTAGAGATGACGGGAATTGTAGTCCCAAAACATCTGGAGGGCCAAGTTTGGCCATGCCTGCTATAGGCTATAACATTTTTCATAATTCCTGATCATTGGTCATATTGGCTGGGGCTCAAGTGGGTGCAGAATAGCAAGGCAGCTTCAGAAACAGGATTGAGAAAGTAAAGGGGGAGCACATGGTGGAAATGAGAAGATCTAAGGTGTTATTGTAGGGGAGTGGAGGGTTGGTGAGCAGGGAGGCAGAGCCCCCTGGCAATTACTGTAAATAAGAATTAAATATCTGCACAGTATTCATGTAAGGGACCATCACTGATCAGTTTGATTAAAAGAACGAAAATGTTACTTGCAACCAGGTAAGGATCCTCCCAGTTTCTCATATTTCCAGTCTTCTAAGTTCAGTTTTCCAGATTTCCATATCAGTTTGTGGTTTATTTGGTTTTTTTAAGAGAGTCCTCATAAAAATTTATCAGTACCTTAGTACAAGTTTATTCTCATATGCACATTTTGGCAAAGCAGCTTTCCCCAAGAGAATGTATTTTCCCCAGTAGATGCATTAATATGCTACTCTAACATGTTCATTTTCACATACAACACTTGACCGGAGTACAGTGGTACCTCAGGTTAAGTACTTAATTCATTCTGGAGGTCCGTTCTTAACCTGAAACTGTTCTTAACCTGAAGCACCACTTTAACTAATGGGGCCTCCTGCTGCCACTGCGCTGCCAGAGCACGATTTCTGTTCTCATCCTGAAGCAAAGTTCTTAACCCGAGGGACTATTTCTGGGTTAGCGGAGTCTGTAACCTGAAGCGTATGTAACCCGAGGTACCACTGTACTGCATTGCAAAATTTGGAGAAGTACAAATTTTGAAGGATGGGTGTGTTTTGGTTCACATGTTGTTTCAGAAAATGCATATTAGGTAAGTTTACCTTTAAATGAGAACTGAAACAAATTTCTCCCCATCCCTATTTGCAACTAAAATGGTTTAGAAAGATACTTCTTTTGCGTACAAAGCCCCCAAAGTATGGCAAAAGAATTTTTGAGAAACATGGACTCAACAGTTTTTATTATGCAGCATGCTAAGATTTTCTGAATTGTCAATTTATTTAAGTGTGCAGTTTATATATTTGTTACAGCTAATGATATTGACAACTAGAAATACTGACTGTTTTCTGGATTGCATCTTCAGCCTGAATATCGTCTGTTAGTAATGTTGATATTCAGTGCCAGCATTACATGTAAGCTAAACAAGCTATAACTTAGGGCCCCACTCTCTTGGGGGCCCCCAAAAAATTCAAAGAGGGAAAAAACTAGATGTACATTCCCAAAATATAAGATAAAAAACAAATAAAATAAAACCTACATACAACAAGTGCTGTATGTAGGTTTGTATTGTGTTGTGTATGGACCTATTGGGTGCATAAATTACCATATAGCATATATTCAACACAAAAAACAGCGGCAATTTGTTGTTGACAAAGCACAGGTGGATATATAAAGGGCACCATTACCTTCAGTAGCTTAGGGCCTCATAAAACCTAAATCCGGCCCTGCTGTTATTTGAAAGGCAGAGAAACACCAGCTGTTTGCAATTTTTAAAGGATTCTGTAATAAGGGTGAGACACTGAAATGGAACCCATCTGAAATCAATTTAATAAATTTGCACATGTAAGGTCACAGGTTGGTGTAAGATCACTTTTTGTTTTCAGAGTAAAACTAGAGTTATTCATGTGTCTGAGTTTTGTTTCTCACAAACACAGTTCAAACAAAGCACACACACACAATTCATGAGGTATGTCAGTAGTAATTTTTAGAATATTAATGACTAGTTTCCTTTGCTATTCATAGCTTTGTTTTCCAAGTAAAAGGGGGTTGAGAGTGTGAAGTAGCTATTTCAATTTTTCCACCAGGATTTCCTTGAGCAGGTAGAGGAGTGCCCTTCTTGTTCTTATCTAGGTAAGTTTTGTCTTTGTTCCATTATTTTAAGTCTATTGCTATGGCCACTTGTGCTCCTGGACTCACCACTTCCATGTGGCCCCCAGAAGATTACCCACAAGGGAATATGGACCTCTGACTGAAAAAATGTCCCCTGTCCCAATGCAGAGGAACCATTTCAGAACAGAAACAAGAAAATCCAGAATTTTCAGCTCGCCGGGAGCCTGCTGTTTATCTGTGTTCCTTCTGTGATACAGACATGAAAACAAGGCAGACACACCCCTGCCTTGGCCTGCGCCAACTGATACAGTGTTTGGGTGGCTTGTGGCTGTCATCACATTCGTTTTCTGTGTGGTGGTGTTTCCATAGGTGCTGAGGGTGTGTTTGTGTGTCATTTCCACATCACCTGCAGATTCTGCATGGGGTTTCTTTTTTCCCGCCTGGGCTGAGTGGTCATAGGATATTGTGGCTGTAGTGGTAGTGCATCTCCCCCTTCCCCAAGGTAATTTAATTAATATATTTGCTTACTGCTCTTCATCACTGCGGCAGCAATCCCAGGGCATTAAAAATGCAAATTGCAGTTCATATAAACAAGCAAAACTTCACCAACCTGCTCTTAACTAACCCAATAATAAACAGACAGGCTGAGGTACTAATATCCAGAGAATGCCCGAATGTAAACTTACATGAAGAGCCTTCTCCAACCTTGGAGACTGGAGTACAAAACATCTGGAGGGCACTAGGTTGGGGAAGACTGGTTTATGCAATGGGCCGCCATTTTGTTATTTAATAATAACAACAGAAACACTGTCACAAGAGCTAACTGTTTCTCATATTTTCATCCTTTATTTCTGTCCTGTTTTATACATTTGAAACAGAATCTTCCCAGCAGCTTGTAAACAATGCTTCTGTGGAGAAACTATGCTTTAATTTCTGGAAGCATGGCTGTGAAATTATTTTGCATTAGAAAAATGTGGTACAGTGGCACCTTAAAGATAATCAAATGCCTGTGTCAATAATAAGTGAACTCTGACAGATGGAAGCTATTACCATAAACAAAGATAGTTGAGGCACCTTACAGTGCAATCCCATCCATGTCTACTCAAAAGTAAGGCCCAGTGACTTTAATGGGGCTTGCATCCAATAAATGGGGAATTGTTTAGGGGGGTTTTGTTACTGATATTAGTATTTTGTAACTTTCCTTTTCGATACTATTATGATTCCTGTGGAAACAGTTTCCATTCGGTTGTGTACTTTTTGACTACTTTTGTTATGTTTGTAATTATGTAAACCTTTTCATGCTTTAAGCTGCGTGGAGCAGGGTTTTAACTATCATTATTATTTAGCAAATTATACTGCCCTTCATCCGAAGATCCCAGACTTACAAATAAAATGATGGTGACTGAAAGGACTGCAACTGTAATATAAAGACTTAACAGATTCATTATAGCCATCAGCTTTCGTGGCCTTTCCCTTCCCCTTCCCTTTTCCTGTAGTGAGAACCTTGCTTGGTATTTGAAGCGCTACATAATAAAAAACCCAAAATCAGCTCAATTATCCAGTGTATCTTGCTCACGTGCTAATAAGCAACCGAGCTCAACCGGGCTCCCTTCCAAAGTAAGCCAGCATATCGGATTGCACCTTCAGCCTGCAAAGCGCACATTCAGTCTCAGCATTGCCAAGCCCTGGGAATGTACTGGGTTTACTTTTGCTGGTTAATTGATTGGGGCACAGAGAAGGGGGGGAGGATGTCAGACTCTCTGAACGTTCGCTGCCCTGCGCGCAGGCGCCGTTGAGCGCTTGCGGCTCGCCACGCTGAATCGCAGCGCCCCCCGCCCACCTCCCCCTTTCCCGGCCTCTCTTCCCCTCCCTTCCCCCGCCCCTGCTGGGACCAGGAGCCCGGAATCCTGGCAGCCCAGAGGCCCGTTACGGGAAGCACCTCCTCTGCCGTCTGCCCCGCCCACGATCGTGACGTCACCGCCCTGCCTACCAATGGCGGCTCGAGCTAGCGGAGTGAAGCCGTCAGTCAAGGCGAGCGGCGCACCGCAGTTCATAAGGTGTGCGCGTCGGCGGCGGTTCGTGAGGCGTCTGGCGGGGACGGCGATGGTCCGAGGCCTGTGGGAGTAGCGCGCCAGGAGGAGGTGAGTGAGGGGTGGGTTTACCGGCCCGCGTTGGCCTTCGGCCGAGGGGAGCAGCCTGTTGGCCAGGCCGAAAAGGAAAACTTGGCAGCTGTCCTCAGGGGGGCGAGGCGAGCCGCTCTCCGCTTCCCCCCGCGGACGGGCCTTGTCCTCCGAAGGCTGTGAGGGAACGAAGCCCGTTCTCGAGAAGCCCGCCTCGGTCGGGCTCTGGCCTCTGAGGCGGCCCCTGAAACTGCTTTCTCCTCAGCGGGAGCGCTTTTAATGTGCGCGGCTGAGGCGCGTCCCGCTTTTCGGGCGCCTCGCGTTGCTTTGGGACGCCCACCGGCGCCTCAGACCGTCAGCGCTGGGTCGGCCTGGTTTGCGACGACGCCCCCTGGTAACATTTCTCTTAGAAACCACCCTCCTCTAGTCGCGGCCGAGGGTGGCAGCAGAATTCCCCCTGCCCTCTTCTTCCTGCGCGTTCTTACGTGCGCGAAGAGGGGTCGGGGGGGGGGAGGGGCGACTGCTCCGTACTCCGGTCTGCCTTGAGTTCTCAACCGAATGGGGCAAGTGGTCGTTCTTCCTCGACTAAGCATTCAAACTAATATCTATGCAAATATCTATTGAAAGGCTACCCTGTCGCGATCGGTTTGGAGAATCTGAGCTAATTTCTCACGGTTATTCCTTCCCCTCTTTTACACGATAAAGCTCAGCGGTCGTAGCAGATATACAACATTATCTTATGGGTCTTTCCTCCACTGTTGCAATCTGGCCGTCCCTGATCTTTTCACTCCTGCTATAACTTTTTTTTCCCCTTTTCCAAATTCTTATCTGTGGGGAGTTTTTTCAGGTAAGCCCCACCCCACATAATCGATCACATGATGCAGTGCACACACCCCATCTGAATGGGAATGCACATCAACTTTGTGGGGGCCCAGCCCCTTGAAATATGTTACTGTGGGGGCCAAAGCCCCTGCGGCCCCTAGGAGTTGGCTCCTATGGTGGGCACCCATTGCCATTCTAAGAGAAAGAAGAAGGCGTTCATGTTGAGTTCCAGCACCTCTTTTTCTAGAAAAATAGAAATAAGTCAAATGAGGGTTGTGCCAGTGGCATTTGATCAGTGGACTAGGAGGACTAGGCTGGTCCCCTAAATGTCCTCCTGGTGTCTCCTCCCCAAAGCCCAGAAAGCTGCTGCCCCGCTTAGGGAGGGAGGCACAGTGCTCACCTGCAGTTGCAACTTTGGAGGGCCCCAATCACCCTCACAAGCTGGTTCCTCTGGCCCTAACTGATTACCTATGAAAAAAATCACTGCATGCCACTGGATTGTATGTATGGCCAGGAGCTGAATCATACCCCTGCAGTCCAGGTCTCATTGTGTTGGTGGTAAACCTGTTCCTAAACTGGGGGCTACCTTTGTGTTGCCCTTTAGACAATACTAGCCAATGGTTTGGGATGATGGGAGTTGTAATCCAGCAGTATCTTCCTTTCACTCCCGTTCTTTGACTTCCACTTGTACAGTTTTAGACCAAACTGCTTTGGAGGAGGATGCAGTCTTTTTGTTGTTATATGCAGTTGATGGCATGCTATATAAACAATAGTGATAATGTGCAGTGTTCTAACACATTCTTGATATTGAATAGTACTGGGGTCAAGCTAGAAGTACATGGTGGCATAGAGATTGGCTGTCATTCATCCTAGTTGATATCTCTTTTGAAAGGCAGACTGGTGCATCTCAATATTGTCTCTACTGTGTTTCTGGGCTTGCCATTTGTGTACTTCCTCTCCCCACCCTCCCAAGGATGCTAGGATCATCAGTATGCCTGATTAGGGGATTTCCACAGTGTTACTTGACTACAGTAGTGTATGGCATATAAAGGAAATGATACTATTTTTATTTGTATGATAAATTTAAGTAGAGTGCTGAGAATTAGTACAGGAGAGTGGTGAGAATTTTCTCGGCGTGTGGTTCTTTTACCTGAGTTGATGGTTTGCCTTTGACAAGATGGGAAACATAAGCAGTAGCCAGTAAAATTTTCTTAAGGTGCTTCTTGGTTTGCTGTCAGTCAAAAAGGACAAGATCAAAGTAGGCTTTCCATTCCCCCCCCCCCAAGAACTTCCTGTGGATTCTGATGATCTTCTGTTGGGCATTAACAGTCTACTATTTTAGCTAAAATTGTATTGGTACTTTGCAACCAAAATTTATTATAATATAGATTTTGGTTCTAAATACCGTATTAATGTAATGTGCAGCCTGATCATTGCAGTTAGGCATGTCTAGTCCCATTGAAGTAAGAAGGGCTGAGAGTGCATATGCATAGGATTGCACTGTTGGTGGTGGGCAGTATTAAAATTCTGTTCTATGATGTTAGATGCACTGGAAAGAACTATGTTGGCTTTCATTTTTAAAGCACTTTGTTCTGCCTAGAAAACGTATGCAGGCCTTGTAAAGCAGAAATGCATTTCAAATCTGCAGTAGCATCAATTCTTAAGAGTCATATTTCAAAGATCCAGGTGTCAGGAGATAATTTCTAACTTGTAAGATCTGCATATGGGGGTGGTGTGTGTGTGGGAATTCTATATGCACACACAATTTTAATCTGAAATTGTAACATATGCCTGGGTTGTATTTCACATTAACCTGTAGTTAAAATAATCTTATTTAATATGAACAAGCACCATGCCAGTGTGTACTCCTCAAAGGTCTGTGTCTTGTTCCTCCCTTGCTCCAGCTCCTCTGGGGAGAAAACAAATCAGAATTTGGCTTGTTACTTGTGAACCCAGTCTTTTGGTTTGTTACTCTTCAGACAAACTATGAGCAGAAGCAGGGCAGCAGGAGGGAGAGAGAAGTTTCAGTGTGACACTCAAACCAGGCCATGCAGACCATGCAAACTTCTTCTTCTAAATGGAAACATTAACAAGGGTAGATTAAACCCCAAAGTACACATAATCTGAAAGCCCATCTCCTCCTCTCAGACATTCTTTGGCACAAAGATCAGTGGAAGGGGGGCCCTCTTGGTGGTTCAACCACTTTCCAAAGCTCAGGGTGGCAGCCTCTGTATCCCTTAAATTGTTGAACTCCCTACAGAGGTGCATCTAGAACCTTCATTGTACAACCAAAGATGCATCTCTACCCTGTCTGTTGATACCTGAGTTGCATGTTTTTATAATGCACCTAATTTTTGTAGTTTTAAGTTGTTTTACACTGATTTTAATATTGTGTCTTAATGGTTTTAACTTTCCCGGAGACCTTAGGATGAAGGATCAGGTAATAAATTGTTATTATACTAATCCAAACATACTAAATCAGATATATATGTACCTTTTAGAAAATGTGCATCATTGGCCAAGGAAAGTTCTAGCCACAAGACAAAAAATGGACTTTATCAGTATATTTAACCATGATCACTAAGTAAACCACAACTGTCAATTTTATATTTTTATAAAATCAATATTGTGATAATAATTAACAAGCAAGCTAGACATAAATTATATATAAAATGGAGTGTGTGTTAGTTTATACTTTTCCCTCACTTCATTGCATTGTGATAATGGTTGAGAAGTGAGCTCAGTAGCCACGCTCAGGCGCATATTGTACCTGGTCATTGACCACTTGTGACCAAGTGAAGATGCCTGGGCGCCAGGATGGCACCTGACATCTCCACCATCTGAAGGTTCATGCCTGGGGATCATTGGATCTGAACTGTTTTCACACACTAATACCACATCCTGTAGAATTCTGTCAGGTTTATTTATCTTTACAATTGAAATGGATTTCAGAAAGCAAAATGCTTTTTCTGTGCAGCCTGAACAGGAGCAGGTACCATTAAGAAAAAGAGGTAGGAATAGGAACATATGTGGACTGTCCCTGAATCGAGTACTTTTCTTCAAGTTTTCAGAGTTCTTAAGCTAGCTCAAGGTGGTCATCCGAACTAACCAGATGCTTAATTGATATTCAATCAATCATTTGAAGAAGAAAAAAAGACTTTAGAGCCATCTTGCCCCAAAATGGCAACTAGACAATTGGGGAGTTGCCTGTATTCCTGTTCTCACTCTTGGCTGTTTCCCTGAGTGCTATTCTTCTCTTGCTTTCCACAAAACCTTTTTGTTCATGGTTAATAAACCTGTCAGAACAGAGTAAACTACAGAACCTGTCTCCTGAGAAGTGTCTTCATAAAAAGAAAATAGTGACTGATTGAGCAGAGTAAAAATATTATATATAAAAAAATTGTTTTTACAGAGACTTGGTTCAAGATGTTTTCAAAATGGAGTTGGTTACTGCAAGCTGTGTGTACTCTCCTGAGCATTTACTCCTTTGGAGGTAAGTCTGCAGGATTAATAATAATAAATTGTTCCACTGTATTATTAAGCTCTGTCAGTTTGTTGATTTGTATACATTATAGAAAATGATTCTTGATTTTTAGTTTGAATCTATTATATGGAAGGCAACGGCATAGAGACTACAGGCTTGTCAGATCTATTTGTTGTTTTTTTTATTAAAACCACAAGATCTGTGAGCCAGAGCCAGGTGTAAAAGGCATACAGTTAGATTACATTCTGAGTCTTTGTATTTGTTTTCGGTAGCAGAACTGAATCAAGTTCACTGAAAAGTCCACTCCTGGTTAACCCAGACTTTCTTCATTTCGGGAGCCTAATGTAAGGGGGGACGGTATTCTAGATAGATACCATTGGCTTGTAAAGTCAAAATATAAAAAGTTGTGAAACAAGCCAATAGTTGATGTGGTAATATGAAAGGAAGGATATTTAACTTATTATCAGGTTTTCTAGCTTGCTAAGTTCCTCTTTTTAAAAAGAAATCCTGTACAGTAGAGAAAGATTACACAAAAACCAATTAAGTTACTACATGTGGTATGTTGCGGTGGAAAGTGAGAAGATGGTTGAAATATTTCCTGCAAGATTAATATTTAAATTGCACAGACAAAATTGAATAATATGCTTTTGGAAATGAAATATAGGTGAAATTTCAAGACAATGTTTCTCTTTACATAATATTAAACAGGCCTAAGGAAATGTAACACATATGTACTGCTACCTCTGCACATTTCTATCTTTTTTATTCACTCCTAATTCTGATGTTTGATAATGAAACTATCTTTGAAATCATGATATGTGGGGGAGTTCACTTAACTAGCACAGACAAGAAATGCAAATAGTCCTTAGGAAAATGATTACAGTTGCTAGACCTAATGTCTTGGATTCTTAGATATGAGAACAGAAGTAAAGCTTCCTTTCCCTCCCCCATCCTCTGCATTACCCTGAACAGCCTCTGGAGACAGTTGGGGTTCCTCATGAACAATGTGGGATGGGTTTGCTATGGTAGGGGAGGATTTTCCCCCAGATTGGAAGGAAATTCCCAGCTATCCCAGCAGCCTCTGGTACCCCATCCCAAATTGTTGGGGGTGGGGAACCATTTGGAGTAGCTTTTCAAGGTGCAGAGCTCACAAGATCTCACTGGAACCCAGAAGCTGCTGCTGCTGCTTGTGGGTGGGGGGGTGCCCATGGATGGGCAGGCCCAGAGGTGAATTCAAGAAACCTATCTATGAACTTCCATCCAGTCATTTATCTTGGATCCAAGCAAATGTTGTCAATTAATGTACACTAGAAAAGTAAAGGGGGAAATGTATTTTCTAGGTAACTATTGTCTTCCGTTGTCATATTGTATGCTTATAGCAATAGTAGCCATGAACAATACCAAACAAATGATCTCTCTCAGTTTCAGATGGATATGCGCAATCATGTGGCTATATAACTCCGGAGTCTGCTGTAGTATCCCTTGAGTCCAGCTTTACAGCATACTGCATTCTTAGTGACTATTGTCTAGATTATGGCAACCTTCGTGCTGATAAAGTTATCTGGAGAATTCAAACTAAGGTTGTTCCTAAAGAACACTATAGCATAATAAATGAAACTGTTTCAAGAGTAACATTCAATGACACGTCTATATTGGCTTCTCCTCTGACTTGTAACATCTTAGTGGCAGGAAGCATTGAGCAGAACATCTATGGAATTCAAGTTGCCTTGGGCTGTAAGTATTTCTCCTTAAATTCTTCCTTTTGGGGATACACATAAAAGGGACAATCTATTGCCATACAATGGACCCTCTAATTACATACCACTCTGGATATGTAACTTTCAAGTTACGAACGTGGCAAACCCAGAAGTGTATACTTCCGGGTTTCGCCACATGCACAGAAGCGGCACCTCTGCCTACGGACTTTTCGGGTTGTGGATGGACCCCTGGAACAAATTTAATTCATATCTGGAGGGTCCACTGTATAGTCATTCTCCTGCTCCTTATAACACTCTTAGAGGATGTTGGATTTTGTCAAATATATTGAAGACAACATGGAGAAATGAGAAACTTTTATTTCACATAGTTGAAAGGTACCAAGTAAAGAAGAAAAAAGTTACATCGCCACTTGGCAAATATGTCACCAGGCAGGAGTAAGGGCAGAAATTGCTGCCTGAATGATGTTTGTTCCACATAGTAACCACACAATTTCTGCCCTTGTACTGTATTATGAGATTCTGAGTATGATTTTATTTTGAGAATAGTGGTGACCCACCTGGAGAACCTGTCAAAGATGTAAAATGGGATACAAGTTTTCTAAATAAAGTTTAACTATGTTACATGGGGATAGGCATTATGCTTCCATAAGAAAGGCAGTTCAGCAGGTATGCCTGTATTGTGTAGCATCAGTTTCAGTGTAGCCCCTTGATCCCTGTTCCTTCTGGCTTATTCAGTCTAGCAGAGAGGGTGGTTGGGTACAGAGTGTGATTAGCACTTCATTGATTGCAGGGGTGGTGCATGCTGCCTTGGAAGAGGTAGTGGTGTGTCCTCCCTTAAATAAACCAATCCTGGGCCCCTTAGTTATACTAGTTCCTCTACCGGTAAAAAATACCCTCTTCTTGGGTAGGTGGTAGAGAGAGTTTCAGTGCAGGATGACCACCTACTATTCTTGGATGCTGCAATTTTTTTATTCCAGTCTGGGTTCAGGCCTGGTCATGGGAATGAATTGGCCTTGGTCACCCTGATGGATGAGCTTTACAAAGAGCAGGGCAAGCAGTGTGCAACCTTGTTCCTGCTTCTCGAATCTGCATCTTTTGACACCATTGGTCATGGCATCTTCCTTGACTGGGAGCAGTCATTGGGCTTTTTTGTACACAATGTTATGGCTCCTGTTACCCCTTTAGGGTTGTCTGCCCTGAAACCATATAGGTCAGTAGTTAGTAGGATACACCACCTTAGTTGGCACCATGGCCATTCTGTTTGGAGTGTCATCTGACCCTAAGCTATTGTAGAATAGCAGAAATCCTTCTGTGAGTAGCCTGCTTGCATAATATTGGATGCAACTTGGGGAATAAACAGGTGAACAATATTAGATTTTGATACACAAATTCTAATTACAGCTGTATATGCTGCCTCGTATGTAAAAATGATACTATTGCTTCAAGTGTTTTTATTTTCCTATTTTATTTGTAAGCTGTCTGGAGTCCCTCTGAGGGAAAAAGGCAGGAAATAAATACTTCCCTTCTTGTAATATTTTATGTCAGCTGTGGTGTTTTGATGTACTTCCTTTTTACCTTTACCTTTGATGACCTTTTGACATGAATGCTCTGCTTTACAGTATTGAAAAAAACAATTAAAAATGAGTTTGGGTTTTTTTGAAAAAATTGATTAGGACCAAAATGAATTCATGTTGTTTTTGCAAGTGTACTCCTAGATTAACTTCTGTTTATTTGTGTGTGTTTAAATGCAGTTTCTCCAGACAAGCCTGAGAATTTGAGTTGCATTGTGCATCAGACAGGAAGAAAGACATATTCTCAAACTTGTACTTGGGAGCCTGGAAGATACACATTTCTGGACACCAATTATACTTTGAAATCTCGATGGTAGATATACTTTTTCAGTTTTAAAGACCTGTAGTTAATTTGTTGAATACAAAACTTTGAATTCTTAATATTTGTTGTTAAGCATACAATTTTTTAAAGGGAAGTCACTTGTTCAAAATATTTAAACATTGCTCTACACTGTGTCTAAGCAGCACAGTGGTCCTGCTAGTTTCAAAGAGCTGAAAGCCAAAATAGGCAGTGGATGAGAAAAAAGGGAACTAAAACTACTGAATAGCTGAATCTTGAGGGACTATAACTTTGGTTACTGATATGGTTTGCAACCAGGGTGGATAAATAATCAGATTTATTTTTTTTAGTTAAATCGGATATTTTTTTAAATAAAATGCTTTTGGACGAAACCTCTTTCTAAAGATAGTTTTCTATTTCAGTTACATTATTGTCCAAAAGCTATCCATCAGGAAATAAGGATTTGTTTTTAATTATGTAGCATGAGGTTTTATATGCAGTGTTTAGATTTTTTGGTAAATGAATTCCACTAATCCATTCACATTGTCATGCTCTTTCAGAGGTTTCTGTAAGATTATTTGGGGCATTTTTTTCTAACAAGAAGATATTATCACGGATGCTTGTTTTTGCTGTTCTAAAAAGTTTGAATTTGTGTCTGCAGAGATAACATGCCTTTTCTTCACAGGAAAAATGTTATAAAATAAACATGCAGAGTTGAGGGAAAAAACCTTAATCCCATTGTTCCTTTGCAAATTTATATACACAGAATCAACCCCTTAGCTCTTAAATGCTAACTTCCAAGAGGTTCAATGAATAGATTGTTTGGAGTGGAATAGATCTGCACAAGTACCTAAATGTGAAGCAGTAAAAATGAAAGTGCAACCTTGTGAGCAGAATACTCACAATATATGCATATTCATAATAATCATAATTATCTGTCTATGTATTTCTAATAGTATAACCAAATCGGTAATTTTTGATATAACTGTAAAAACTGCTCTGAAAATTTATTATTCCAAAAATGAAACCTTCATCTGGTTGTGAATATTAAGATTATACCAGCAAAAATGACTCCTTCTCTTAAAAAAGTATTTAAATCAGTAAATCTTAGAAATATCTACCAGACTTTTGGTTGATGCATACAAGTCAACCTACTTATGACTGGTTAGATGGTGTACCAGTTAAAAATAAATGAATAAATAAATAAATAAATAAATAAATAAATATGAACAGCCACTTCCTATTTTACTTAAAAGTATTTCGATTAAAGCAAATTGCTTTTGGATTAAAGCAAATTGCTTTTGAAAAAAAAATCTGATTTGGTGTCCTTTTATCAAAGCCCCACCTTTAAATAAATAAATTTCTTTGTGATATTGTGGGGCAAATGCTACAGTCCAAAGCTCATTTACTACAGAGTAAGTTTCATTGAATTCTGCTAGACTCACCTCTGTTTAAATCTGTCAAGGATATGTACATATAGTTGTGGTTTTTGAAGTATTGGGACCAATATAAATTTTAGTGTATTCAATCCTGCTTCTTTTTCTCCAACTTCTAGGCCAAACGAAGAGTTTCCTGACTGCCTGGGTGCCAATAATTCTTGTACCAGTACTGTGGTTGTATTTTTTGTCGACTTGGAAGTGTGGGTAGAAGCAAAGAATGCTCTTGGGGTAGTTGAATCTGACCGCATTGTGTTTGATCCTATAAAACATGGTAAATATATCAGAAGAGCTACTCCTATGAATGATTTCATATCGTCATATCTTCTAAGGAAGATAATGTTTCTTTATACGGTGAAAGAAGGAATAGGGTGGAAGAACAAGACCACCACCTCAGTGTCATACTTCTAGTTAAAAGTCACACTGGGGAGAGTCTAGAAAATTATGGTAAACCAATGTGCCTGAAGCTGGAGGGCAATGGCTTAGGAAAAATATCTAAAATTTTTAAGAGGACAATAGCTGGCAAAGAAAACTGATGAGACCCCCCGAGAGACTTTAAGCAGGGACTGACCAACCAAAGATTCTGGGTTCATCAAGCAGCCTGCTCCCCTTCCATAATGGGATTGCTAACTCCAGGCATCAAAAGACGCAGCTTCTAACAGTTGGATTTCTGTAGCCAAAATAGATACACCAGCCTTTCTGGAGGTGGCTCCTCTTAATTATTTTAGTTGCTTCTCCTCTAGTTCTCTGATAATGGTTGAGTCTCATAGAATGGATCCGAATAAACCAAACAATTGGTTTAATTTACTGGTTTTAGCACAAAGCAAGTGTCACTTGCACTCAGGTCAATCCTATCTACTGTTTGATTTTATTCAACGTAGTTCGTACACAGAGTTTGGGTGGACTGAACCCAAAAAAAGGTACTCAAATGTAGTTTTTAAAATAGAGTTATTAATAAAATTCACCATATGGATTATATATTTCCTGGGTTAAACTAACTCAACTGGCTTCCTGTGCATTTCAGGGCATGATTCGAAGTGCTTTTTTAACATTTTAAAGAGATCTCGCCTGATTTCATAATGGCATCCGGTGATTAGCACATGTCAAATTTCAAGACAGGATGCTAAATAACTAATCAGTGGTTACAACAAGCACCTTTGAATTCACTTTCAGCACCAGTTAGCTGTTTTGTGCAAGGAGCCTGCCTTCAAAGGGACTTGATCAACAATTACAGGAATCTCTGTTGAAGTCTGTTTGGGGACCTGGCCCCCTCTCCTGTATGAACCTCTCCCGTAGTTACGATATTCAGAGCTCCTTACCTTGTTGCTCCTACTTTCAGAGGTTAGGCAGGTGGCAAATGTGGAATAGGACCTTTTTTGTGGCTATAGAAAACTCACATTCAGGATACAGTCACTTTCAAGTTTTAGGCACCAATTGAAACATTTTCATTTTTCTGAGATTTTATTATTAGGTTGGTGCTTTCATTGCCACTTCTGAGTGTTACACTCCAATTTTTGTTTTATTTTGCTGTTCACTTTTTTATCAGGTGTTTTATTGCCTTATATTTACTAGGTACATTTTTATACATTTTGCAGAGCTTCCATGATGTCAAATTCCAGCAGTATTGCATCTTTTGAAAGTTTTCCCTCAACGTCTAGCATGCCATGAATTTCCAGTTAACTTTCCATAAACTTTCCCATTGTTTCATACCAATATTATACCCAAAATCCTGGGCCCATTTAATCTTGGCGGCTTTAACCTCCTCCTCCTCTTTGACTTCCCAGTCAAGGAGGAGTCTTAATGTCTTGGAAAGAATTTTTGTTTTGGAATTGATCAAATCTGTTTCCAGTCTGGGTGCCTCTGTCGAAAACCCCTTTTTTTAATCCATCTTAAATGTCTCAAATAGTTGATAGTATTGAAACCAATCTGCTATTTGTTCTCTTACTTCTTCAAAACTTTTTAGCTTTAATTCGTTTGTTTCTTCCTTTAGTAAAGTTTTGTAAGTTGGCGAGTTCCCTTCCGTATTTTTACTGCGGTTGCCTCAGCTGGTGAAATCTACTAGTCTTAGGCTCTAAAAGATCTTTATATTTCTCCCAAACCATGTACAGGGATTTTCTAACACTGCCTCATAATATAATTTTAGGTCACACAGGGCAAAGCCTCCTCTTTCCTTTGCACTGATTAGAATTTGATGTTTAATTCTAGGTCTTTTTCCCTGCCATAAAAAATTTGAGATTTCTTTTTGCCAGGTTTTGAGGCAGCCCGTTCCACCCAGAATCAGAATTGTTTGGAATAGAAAGAATAATTTGGGAAGCATGGTCATTTTGATGATAGAAGTCTTTCCTAAAAATGAAAGGTTTAGCCGACTCCAAATCTTGGGGTTCCTTATAATCTCTTTCCAGGTTTTCATATAGTTATCCTGAAATAAATTGATGTTTTTTGGAGAGAACCAGATACTTAAGTATTTTGCTTTATTGCAGATCTTTAAGCCAGATGTTTTTTCCAGGTCTTCCTTCTCTTACGTTGTTACATTTTTAAGCAGCAATTTTGTTTTGGAGAGGTTTAGTTTGAAGCCCGCCACTTCTCTGAAAGTTTGTGCTCCTGTTATAAAGGAGCAAAAGTTGTGCCGTGTACCTGAATATTAGACTTCAAATTAATTGGAACCTATATATTAAAAACAATGAAATGGCCTGTGGCTAATTGAGTGCACATTTTTTCCCCTAGTAAAACCGCTGCCGCCATCCAATCTGTCCCTCAACTCAGGAGAATTTCCCAGAGTCCTAAAGCTATCATGGGAAAACCTATTTCATGAAGCACCACTGGAGCTGAGATTTCAAATTCGATACAAGATAATTGACAGTATAAACTGGATCCAGGTAACCCCACACCCATTATTTGTCAATTATTTTTTGTGGCATTTTCTTTTATACAGTTGGTGTGTTTGCATCCAAAGAGCTGTGACAGTTGCATTTTATCTACTAGAATGGTATTTTTTTAAATGAGAGAAAATATAGATTTCAGTTAAGTGTTCAGTGGAAACATTTATAAATTAAATAATGTGAAAAGAAATATAAAAAATCCTTGTTGGGAAAAGTGAAATAGAAATTTATGAATAGGTCAGAAGGAAAATAAACTGTTGAGGAAGCTTGTCGATTCTACTTCACAGTAGTTTCTAAGGGATTGACAGGCTGCTGGCAGGATAGGAAAATAAGTTTGACTTGATAATTGTCGAAACTAAATTAAAAAAAAATCATTCCAGTAGCACCTTAGAGACCAACTAAGTTAGTTATTGGTATGAGCTTTCATGTGTATGCACACTTCTTCAGATCCCACATAAGCTTTATATAAGCTTGTATATAAGCTTTATATTGATAGCAAATGTCTATCCCTATTGGGATGGGTAATTGCAAGGTGTTGCATCTTTCAGAGGGAGTTATTCTGACTTTTTCCAGTAGTAGTACTGTGAGATTTGCAAATCGCTTCCAAGGCAAAATCACTTGGATTTCTGCTGAACCTGATGCTTCAGTTGGTTCAAGTCCATTAGAGGTCCCTAGAACATAATCAAATCACACCTTGTGGGATCATTTTCAAAGGTTGCAGTCCGAATATGTGGGCAGGACACTTGTGGCAGTGAGGCTGACAACGTGCCCTCCTGATCCCTACCCATCATGGCTGATAAAATCAGGACAGGATTTACTGAATGGGTCAAGAGTGTAGTTGATGCCTCATTACAGGAGAGAGTTATGTCCATCACTCTGAAGGTTATCCCCCCTGAGGTCCTCCAAGGTTTTAGAAAACTACCATCCAGTGTCTTAATATTCCCTGCACATATGCCCGGAGGAAACAGACTACATAAATCTATTCCAGTCTGGTTTCAGGTCCAGTTTTAACACTGAAACAGCTTAAAACACCCTTTTTAATTACCTTTATTAAAAGATACGCAATCCTCTTGGCTGCCCTTGACCTCTCAAAGGCTTTTGACACTATTGGCTATGGTGTCCTTCTAGTGCAACTCATTCCTACCTGCAGGGTCACAGCCAGAAAGTAGTTCTAGGAGGCTGTTCCTCGGCCCTGTGGCTTTTGATTTGTGTGGTCACGCAAGGGTCCATTCTGTCTTATGCTAGTCAACATTCTGTATGAAACTGTTGGGGACTGTCCTTTGAGGATTTGGCACAGTACCATCGCTATGCCAGCAATAATCGGCTCTACCTCTCCATTCTATCTGAATCTGGAGAGACTGTGAAAGTGTTGGACAAGTGTCTCGAAGCAATGATATAGCTAAATTCCTAAAACTGCTGAAAGGGAAACTTAAAAAAAAACAGCAAGAGCTCTTGCTGCAAATTCCTTCTCATTAGAATGGTGTGGTAGAAAAAGGAATAAGTGCCACAGCAAATATAATGTGAAGCAGTAAAGATCTAGCTCCAAGGGATACTTAGTCTACTTGGGTCTTTTATGATGAAGGCAGAAGGTTCCATCTGCTTAAGAACCCTGTCTCTACCTCCTGCTCCACATGAATTGCAGTACACATTAATTTGTGTGCTTTCACATTTTAAGACTATAAGCTTGGGATATTTTTTAAGACAGTGGAGGCTAAATTTCAGAATCCTGGTTTCAGACAGGATTAATGGCACGTGTGAACTTCTTGAAAAACTAGGCAGCTGCTTGAAACTAGTACTGGGCCAAAGTAGTGCCCAGCCAAATTTCATAGGTTTGAAGGATTGGGGGCAGAGTGAAATCTCTGCAAAGACTGCATTACTTATCACTAGGTGGCAGACTTCAAAAAGTATAAGAACTTCCTTTAACAACAACAAATCCGGGTCACCATTCTAGCCATTTTCTTGTATAGGGAAGACCTCTGGGAACACTGCTACACTTTTACAATGCCTTTAATTTATTGTTTTTTTAAAAAAAATAGAGAAAGGGAGAGAACCCTTTGCTGCATTGTAATGTACAATAGAGCTTTCTGAAATTAACCTTATCAAACCCCCTCAAAATACCCATATAATTTCTGTTACAATTGTAATTTCCTCTTGCCTACGGCATGTGATTGGAATAGAACCCAACTCAGTTAACCTCCTGTCAACCCATGGAAATAGGACAATTGGTAGCTTAACTTTCGTAGGTGGCGAGGGTTTAACTGGATACAATACCTGCCCTGAAAAATATATATTCTGATGCTTGTTATCAACATACTTCAGGATTACAAAAAAAAATGATGCAACATAAGAATTATTATAAAGTATAGTTACTTTCTCTCTCTTGATAAGATGTTTAGCTCCATAAGCTTTCTCAGTTTTTGAAGCAGGCAAAAAACACTAAATGGAGGGTGGAGAGAATAGTGACTAAACAATAGTGTAATTTGAATTTAAGTTCTTTATCACAATTTCATGTTTTATGCTAACGAGGGTCATTCAAACAAAAGATCTAAATTTGCTATGCTGATTTTGAGAGAGAGCTTGAAAATTCAGTATAGTGAATGTTGTTCATTCCCTAGTAGCACTTCTTAAAGCCCAGTTTCATTTTGGCAGGTTCCTCTTGAAGACACAGCAACACACAGAGATTCCTTCTTCATTCAAGATCTCAGACCAAACACAAAATATGTGTTTCAGCTGCGTTGTGTAACTAGTTGGGGAGAGCACTGGAGTGACTGGAGTAAAGAAGTAGTTGGGTTCACAGCTGAAGATAGTAAGTAAGATTCCAAAATTCTCCAATTTGCTCCGAATTGTCAAAATGTGTTTCTGATTAAAAGGTTTCTACACAATAAATATGTATACATATGTGTAATAACTATGATACAATAGAATGCAATTTGTCATTTAAATCATGAGTAGCAAACAGTAGTTATTACTATTTGCAAATTTACTTTGATGTTCGTTCATCTCTTATTAACCTCCTAAGTAATGGTTCAGCATTATCTTGTACTTTGTTTCACAATAGATGATGATAAAGCTCAATTTATCAACAAATTAATAAGTTTTCTTCTCTTACCTTGACCAAATTTGACAATTTTACCATTTGAACTGTAAATCATCCCTGTATCTCAGAGGGTTGGCTTCCTCCCCCCCCTCCCCCCGTTATAGCTGATTACCGTATGGCCAGCTGCTAATAAGTACAGTAGGCTTATAACTTACAAGCATTTACCTTGGGCACATTCAGCTTTACATGCTTGACAAAATAATAATATAATAATAATTAAAAAGGGGAACCAGGAAAAAAGACTTTGGCAATTCCACTCACCATTTCACCCAGTGTGTTTTGACTATATACAATTTCGGCTTTAGGCACGATTCCCAAAACGTAACCCTCACATGAGTTGAGGGCTTACTGTGAATCACCAGCTCTCTATCTTCTGACATAATCAGATATTTGACACAATCAAATAAAGTAACTATTGGGTTCTAATTTCCTGTATTTCACAGATTACCAACATCCAAAAAGATTTTATTTTTGGAGAAGGCCAAATTATTTGTTACCTATCTGTATTTTAGCATTAATTCTACAACATACTTGATTTGTACCCCTATAAATGTGGTTTAAACCTAAAAGAGATTAAGAACTAACAAAAATGGTTTATAAAACAATTATTCCATGTTGATATTGAGAGTTTGATTTGGAACATGTTTCCAAAGCTATTGACATGTTTATTGATGCTTGAAACACCAACTCTTATTCTCATAAGAGCCAGTGTGGTGTAGTGGTTAAGAGCGGTAGACTCGTAATCTGGTGAACCGGGTTCACGTCTCCGCTCCTCCACATGCAGCCCCTGGGTGACCTTGGGCTGGTCATACTTCTTTGAAGTCTCTCAGCCTCACTCACCTCACAGAGTGTTTGTTGTGGGGGAGGAAGGGAAAGGAGAATGTTAGCCGCTTTGAGACTCCTTTGGGTAGTGATAAAGCGGGATATCAAATCCAAACTCTTCTTCTTCTTCTTCTTCTTCTTCTTCTTCTCATTTGGATTGGAAGTTAGTACAAGATAAATCAAAATCCATGAACGTGCTGTATGTATTCCTCAAAAACCTATTCTAGAAATAAAAAAAAATTATAATGACTTTCTGTACCTGCTTTCTTATCTTCCCCATTCCCTCACTGTATTCCTAACTGGTGGTGAGTAAAAAGTTTGGGCCTTTTAGCCCGCCTGGGTCTGTCTTTCCTTCAGATCACACAACTGTGATCCTTACTTCAGAAAAGCTGTAGGAGCCTCCCAGCCACTTTTCCTGGCTGTTTGTCCCAAATCATGGAGGTGATACCAGCAGACACATGCCTGGCTGTATGTCACAGCCGACCATTGGATGACTAGATTGCTGCTATTCTTCATGCTCCATCTACTGCAGCAAAGCACTTGTGAATATATATATAAGCTTGAATCTTTTTCAGTACCCTACATATATATTAAAGAAAAATGAATAGTGGGCTAAATAAACATGATTCTTAAGAGAGATGTTTGTCTTTATCAGAACCAACTAAAGGACCAGATCTGTGGAGGAAGATTAGTCCTGTTCACTCACCAGAAAACTGGACTCTGGTGCTGATCTGGAAGGTAAGTAGTACCAAATTTACTACACTGCATGTCTGATTTCCTCATGTTCTCACTAATATCTGTCATCTGCACTCAAACATAATTCCTGTTATATGTAAACTCATGATACTATAACACTACTGTAAACACTTTCTTCTAGGTGGTAGTTTCTTTCACAATATATTGCACTCAAGTGTAAGATATGCACACGTGTAGTTTATGAAGTAAAAGGCTCATGTATGTCACATTTGCTACTTGTCCGTTTTAAAAATAAACAGGGATGAAGATCTTATGCTTTCTTAGTCCTTGCTTCTGCAAACTACAAGTTGTACAGGTATATATGTGCCCTTCTCCGTAAACATGGCACACATGGATGTAGTTTCTGGATAATGGTTCTGTGAAATACTGCTTGAGAATTGTCCATGTTTAGCTTATGAGGCAAAATAATTTTGAGTGAAGTGATTTATTCTCTTGGAACAAAGCTTTAACACGTAAGCCTGATCTCAGCAAGTTACAAGATAGTGTGTTCCTGTCATAATGGATGAGAAGCATGAAATGATGTTAGCTGGAGCATTGTGCCCAAGGCCAGATGGTAAAATATCATGTCAGTGTAGGACTTTGGAAAAGGTATCATGAATAGCTCTGTAGTAGACACACTTTGCATAAAAAAGGATCCTTGTACAATATTGGTTAGGATCTTGGTTAGCAAGTCCGAGAAAGGCTCTGCCTTAGACATTGGTGAGCTGCAGCTCATCAGAATAGATGGTTCTGGCTTAAGTGACCCATAAAGGTCTTACTCTCATTAGCTAATCTCAGATGTTCACATATAAATGGTTAAATAAAACAGATCTTTTTCTATTTTGAACAGGAGTTAAATCCTTCTGAAGCTAATGGAATAATTTTGAAATACGATGTATCTATCTTGGGAAAGCCACCACTTCATTTTCAACAGCAATTCTACAGTCTGAACACCACACAGCTGACTCTAAATGTAGAAAATGGGACATATGAAGTGAGAATTAAAGCATCAAACAGTGTGGGTGAATCTCCTGCATCAGTTTTGCTGATCCCAGCAACTAACTCAAGAGGTAAGTTTTCCCACATGGCATTGAGTATATATCCCACTTTTTTGCCTACTTCACACATCCCATTAGAAGGATCGCATGTAAGATTAAACTAAACGGTCAACCACAACACTTAAGTGAATGCTACTGAAAAGTTTGTGCTGCACTCCTTCCTTGCTCCTGCTGCACGGCGAACAAAAAAAGTTTGGCTTGTCATGTCATCTGAACCCAGGTCCTTGGTTTGTATCTTGCTACACAAACCAGGAGCAGCAGCCAAGGTTTGTGCTTGCTGCTTGTGGTTTGTTAGGGGAGAAACAAACCTCAAGCCTGAGTTTGGAAGACACAACAAAGCCAGAGAAGTACAGCAAGAACTTTTTAGCCACATGTTGCACATTCACATTAAATCATAGTTCGTTTCTAACTGTGGTTTAATGTAATGTGTAAACTGCATCCCCACAAGAGGAGGAAATATTTCAAATGTAAACTTATTGAAGGATATCAGTCTTTCAGTTTCTGTTTGTTTTCAAATTAGCATTGCATCTGTCCACTTCATTTTATTTTATTACATGTATAATGCACCTTTCTTCTGTCATGGAACCCAAAATGGCGTACATGGTTCCAGGCTATCTAGGTATTTGCTATACCCAGAACTGCTTAGCTTCAACCAAAAGGTCACTTCAGATAATGCTGCTGCTTCCTCATCAAATCTCTTTTCTTTTAACTTAAGATCCAGGTGCTTTACAGGATAGCTTCTAAACGTTTGACTTATTTAAGGCAGTGTAGGCATTAGTAAATGGAAGCAAGCTTGTGAGACTTGGCATCTTCATTCTAATTGGACTATTAGCAAAGCAGGTGGACAATACCAATACAAATTATTTATTATGAAGTCATAACCTGCAACAAAATAAAACCAATAATCCTACAAGCATCTGTCATGGATGCTTTAGCTGAGATTCATGCATTGCAGGGGGTTGGACTAGATGACCCCTGCCGTGTCTTTAAAATTTATGACTCTATGATAAGTAAAATACTATAACATACAAATACATTAAAATGGGTTGTAATACTTACAGCCCCATTCTACAGAAGTCTATAGCTGAGAGGAACAAGTGGGGATTACATATCTGGTATCTGTAAGACTTCCTCTGAAATACGTGGCACCACCTAACAACTGAAACAGGAATAAGTACATATTAAAAACGTATTTTATTCCCTTACTATATACTGCTATATTTATATGGCAGTTTCTCATTGTGGTGGACCTGCCCACTAATAGGTCATTTTTATTTTTTGCTTTCAGCCATTGCAGCACAATAGCTATTAAGGAGAAATGAAAACTTTATTAAATGTGCTTCAAAATGTAAACATTTGAATTCTCTTTGGGTGTCAAAACTTGATTGAATTACAACTTACCTTGAAAGGTGTTTGATCTGTGACCTTCGGCATCTGCTCAGGCTTTATTAACATTTTGTTGAAGTGAAATATAATTGCAGCTCTCCAACAACCCCTTTTAGTTTTTTAATGTTTGAAATGTTATTCTTTTAGAAATAAAAATACTAATTTAACAGTATGTTTATGGTCATTTCAGCTCCAGTGAAAAATCTTACAGCATTTCCTAAAGATGGCAAGCTCTGGGTAGAGTGGACAGTTCCTAAAACTGATGTTAATAGATACATAATTGAATGGTATGAAGAGTGTGACAATTTGACATGTGCTAGTGAATGGCAACAGGAGTCTGGAATGAAAAATCGCACATTTTTAAGAGGTAACTCTCAATATTTATAAACTCTTCGATATTTATTGATTACACAAACATTTTTTATACCTTACAGAAATGTGATTTTGTGGTTTTTTTTAGATAAAAAGGCACTTGTAATTTGACATCTTTTTAAATATAAAAGAAATATAAATATGTCTATAATATCTGATATTTTTAGTGAGTCTCTAAGCTCCTGTCACACATGGGGAGGAATTCCTTTAGGGCACTTTTTATAGGTTGAGAGAGATTGATTCAATGTTACAGCATGCCAGTTTTGCCCTTTTGTGAAGTCTATCAGTATGTGTGCCCTTCTTTGCCAATGACTGAGCTCTGAATAAAATCAGTCTCCCTTTCATCATAGTCCAGAGGTGATCCTGCTTCTCATCCCTTTTGTGTCAAGGGAACATATTGAAGCCTGCAAGAGAGACAACAGAGCTCAGTAGCTACACTAACAACAGATGGGAAAACAGACCTTGGGTGTCACAGCTATGCCAGGAGTATGTTTAGCTTCTTCAGGATTACAGTTTTCCAGTATAGTTAAGAAACTCTCTGACACTGCATTTACTAGGTAACTTCACAGATTTTCATGGAGAATGCTGTTCTGTCCCCACCCATGGATAGCTTGGTCATCGCAACTGCAAAAGTTCCCTTTTAGACATTTCAGATAGAGAATAAGTATGAAACATTTGCACAATCACTTGCCAGCATGTCCTATATAGCATCCAAGATTCATTCAGATGTATTTTAGAATAACTTCTAGGCTGTTCAGCTGACTTTCCAGGTATTTAAGAGTATTTGTACCCCACTCTTCAGCTGAAAAGGCTGCTGGAGTGTAAATGAAGGGATTTGATTAAAGGAAATTGATGAACTAGTGTTCAAAATGGAAATGTCAGTGGATCTATATATATGTGAATATGCAAATCTGATTTTTAAAATTATTTCCTTAGGAGGCATAAAGCCACGGAAAAGCTATAAAATAAGTGTGTATCCATTATATTCAAATGGTCAAGGAGAAGAAAGATCAATACAAGCATACCTTGAAGAAGATGGTACGTTTAAAGCACCAGAATTTCTCTTGCATGACAGTAGCCAAAAACGTCTTCGAACTTCTCCATCAATAGGTGGCATGACTGCATTGGGCAGATGGTGTTTTCTGAGAAATTAACTCACATTGTGCAGCTAGCTTAAGGGTTGGCCAAACCAGATTCATGTGGTCATATGGTTTCTATTTTTAATGTGATAAGTAAAGAAAGAAACCTCCAGAGTCTTTAGCTTTCTTCTGACGTGACTAGTAATCTAGTGTTTACTCATGTGCTCCTCTCTCCTTTGCTCTGGAAATATTTATGAAAATCTGTGATAAATGGCCTATACTTTTTAAATGTGGAGGTTTTTTTACTTTTTACTTTTTATTCTCTGTACATAGTTATTAATATACAGGCTCTTATTATGCAAACCTTGTTGTCTTCGTTATTATAATAATTTCTTAGAAATCTCAACAAAATACAGACTTTGAAAATTAAAGGTTCTTCTTTTCTTACAATACAATCAGACATAGTATGTCATTTACCAGTATACCTTCAGGCTTGTTCCATATTAAAACAGATAAAATGGCATTTTAATATAACAAACTTACTATATGCAGTTATCTAGAATTTGCTCTTCAGAATTAATTTTTAAATATTTTCCACTAATAGCACCTGCCATAGGTCCCACTGTTCGGACAGCAAAAGTTGGAAAAACTGATGCCCTTATTGAATGGGAACCTCTTTCAGTAGAAGAACAGAATGGATTTATCAAATACTACAATATAATTTACAGAACAGCTACTGGAAATGAAACAGGTAATTGAGTTTTGCTTATTATGTTTAAATATATGATTCGACTGAGATTACTTTTTCTAAATATATTTTAAGCTTTATTTTTGCCTTTTTCTCTACCCAAACTCCAGACATTTTAAGTTATCATTTATGTCTGCAGCAGCATCATAATTTATAGTGATGTGGCACAAGTGTAGTAATTGCTATACCTCATTATGCTTATGTTTTTTGCTGGCTCATATTTCTAGGAACAATTTTTTTCTTTTCTTTTATAAAATCATTCCTTTTGACTGTGATCTATAGGAACTTTCAGTCATAAATTAAGCTCACTTCCTTCCAATTACTGAGTCGGCTCTCTTTGGTGTGGCATTTAGCCTTTTACAACTTCCGTGAAATATATAAAAAGCTCTTCAAGCTTTCATATCCTGACAAGCATAATATGCTCTATGTGAGTTTGTTTTGATGATCTGGAGGTTGCAGCTGATGTAGAATGCAGAGGATACCTCTTGAATAGTGGGTCACTGGAAAGTCATTAGGCATTAAAGCATCTGAGTGTTTGCTGACTTTTCTACAGCCTTTTGTACACAGCACCAGATGCTCATTTTGACTAATGAGTGGCATAATCTAAATATCTTACCTCCTCCCATGTGCCCTACCACAGCCCCAAAAGATAAATGGAGAGCATGCTCGTTTGCCAAGATAGTAAGGTATCTCAGCAAATACTTTTTCATAGATTTATGCATTGGAGTTTCTTCAAACCTTTTCATTTGATAGAGAGGAGGGTTTCTCCACACATGCAGAAAGAAAGGGGAGATTGTGGCCTGCTTCAGAAGTAACATTAAACCATGGTTTTGCACAACATGGAGAAGCAGAAACAGAAGCAAGCCATGGGTGATCGCTCTCCTCTTCTCCAGTGTTGACTGCAAAGGGATTGAAAGCACTTCACTTGTTTTAAAGAAACTTGAGTTTATCATTGTTTCTAAACCACGGAAATACTGGTTGGTTTAACATATAATTTGTTAAAAACAAACCAAGATCAAATTGTGGTTCCTGATCTTGGTTACTATAGTTTAACTAACAAGAGTTTCAGCAGTTCAGGTCTAATGATATTCTGGTTAGTTTAAAAAAAACAAAACTGGAGGGGATGTTTCCGGTCCTGTCGTAGTCATGCCTGGAGAAGGAAGGGGGCGGGGAGTACATGAGGCTGAAACTTGCTTCTGCTCACATAACACTAAGTCATAGCTTAGTGTTTTGTAGCACCAGTGCTCTTATAGCAAACTTCATTATTGCTGTGTTAAATATTTTTATTTAAAAACACTTTTGAAGTTTAATCTTAAAGAAAATGAAACATACGTTATTTTACACTTCCTTTAAATTTTAAATTTATTTAAATTAAGGTCACAAACTTCTAACAAGATCTCTATTTACACTTTCACTTCTTTTCTAGTAGAGAATTGAACTTGAAACAAGTACTGCTTATTTGGTGGTAGGGGTGTTATAGAAGAGTTTTATTTACCAGGCATGCAAGTTGAAGTACAGTCTTCACATCTTCTTTTTATTTGAATCGTGAAAATTATAAGTCATGGGTAAAACTGGTTTTGCTTGTATAGTGTTAATACAAGAGCTGTACTGTTTTATATAACGCATATCAAATGGGTGATTTTTATTTCCAGTTGTGTTTGTGGACCCTTCTAAAACGGAGTACCCACTGTCGTCCTTATCAAGTGACACTTTATACATGGTGCAGGTAGCAGCATACACAAAAAATGGAGGGAAAAGGGGTCCTGCTTTTACATTTACTACAAAGAAATTTGGTAAGTTCTTACATAAAATGTTTAATATGTTTAATTGTTGAACTGCTCGGGACCTAGTATGCGTTGGTAGTGCCACATGTCTAGTTTCATAGTTTAACCTTAAGTAGTACTCTGGGACTGTATTCCACACTTGATAACCCTCACTTGATTATCAAAAGCAACCATTGGTCTCATTTGAAAGGTGGCTTGGGTCCATCCATCATGTGATGCCATCTAGTGCCCAATGACAGAAATGGCATTTGAAGTCAAAGCATCCGCTTAAAATAACTGGAAGGAATAGAATACCTGTGCATACCTGTGCATTGACTGAGTGCATTCCCTGTCTTTGGACACTAGATGGCATCACACCACACAGGTTGGATGGACACTCACTGAAAACATGAATTAAGATGGGTCAATATTACCACATGTTTTCTCACCTCTGCATATTACCTAGAGATACCTTTTTACATTATCTTCACATACTTAAGAGAGGGTCTTTTGAGTGGCTGTATCCGGGCTTTGAAACTCCTTACAGCGGAGGCTCATAGACCTAGCCCCCTTGTTGATGGCCTTCTGCTGGCAGGCAAAGCCCTTATGTAAGTGGGCATTTGGCCTGCCAGGGTGGATTTGTTCTGCCATATTGCTGTAATTTATGTTCTCAACTAGTTGTCCTTTCTTACGTTTTAAATCTGCTCTTCCTTCCTTTTGATATTGGAATTGTATTACTGCTTATTTTGTGTGGATCAGTTACTTTTTATTCTGGATTTTATTGTTAGTCACCTTAGGCTTTGCCTTATTATTTATTTTTAAGTAGGGCAAAAGTGTAACAAAATAGAAGAATTTGCTTATTATGCCTTAAACCTCATCTAAATCATTTAAACTTTTTTTTTTCTCAAGCAAAGAAGACTAGGATCAGATTCTGAAAGACTTACTTTATACTAATGGATTTCATGTTTTTAAAATATGATTGTACTAAGCACAGCATTTTTAGGGAGATATTAAAAACATCTAACATTTTGTCTTTTACCTTTTAGCGGAAGGAGAAATTGAAGCAATTGTTGTCCCTGTGTGCCTAGCAATCCTGCTATTTACTCTTTTAGGTGTATTATTTTGCTTCAACAAACGAGATAGGTAAGCACCCTTATTTCAGTACATTGCATGGATAATATGCTGCATTAACACTGAAAGAGGTATTAGGCAAAAGTCCTGAGTTTGCTCTGATTGGGTTTTTTTTTCCTTTCAAGCCCAGGGCTGCATTTCCTCATGGGCAGTCTTGAGGCAGGGAGGGGCTGCTGCTTGACACTGGTGGATACAAAATGCCAGAGAAACAGATATTGTTCTTTGGATAATAGGCCACACTGCATACACTCATATCTCTCCATCCAGGCAAGCAAGGGCAACTATCACAATTCAAGGGCATGTACCAGCCAGGCAACAGCAGTAGAGAACACAGGGTCAGGGAAAGGGGTATAGCTTGGGGTGGGTCCCATGTTCACATTCAGGCCCTGGGCCTGACATTTCCCACCCCTGCTTTTTGTAATCCTACAGAAAGAATTTATAAAACTTCTCATATTTTAGTTGGTGTATGTGTGTGTAATAATTTACATATTACCTTTCAGCTCTTGAAAGTACCCTCAAGACAGTTCATAGTGTTAAAACAGATGATGAGCAGATTCACAACCTGGTTGGAATTAAAGCAAGTCAGAATCCTTTAGTTTTAACCCACCTGCCTAAACATTGTTGGAGTGGGGGAGTACAATTATCTCCTTTTAAGGGAATGTTCCACAGCTAGGGTGCCGCAGCAGCAAAGGCCGTTCCATATCCTAGCCAGCCATGTCTCCTATAGAGATGGCACATGGAGCAGTGCATCTGGCTGGGGTGTGGAACAGAACATTCTTGGTTGTGTCATGGATTGTATGCATTTGTTTAGAAAGAAAGAAAACAGACTTTTGTAGTTTCTGGGCCTTATTGCCCCTTCCTTTTACAGCCATAGTGATGCTAAGTAAGGAAAACATTCCAACCTGGCCCAGTGCAAGTCTCTCCTGGCCTCCTTTTCTCAGTCAGAGCTGCCCTCACTGTGAAGGGGAAAGAGGCTGTCAGTGGTTTTCCAGATCTAGCATCAGACCTAGAATACTTGAAACATCTTCTGTCTGCATAATATTTTCCCCTATTCACAAGGTGTGGCCAAGACCACAGGATCCCTGTTCACCTATATACAGAACTCAAAAATCATAACATTGAGAATCTGAAAGTTGGAGCTTAACATTGGTGTAAGTTTATCAGTAGGCACTTGCAATGCAATGACTTTTCTCTTGATCCTTTGCCAGCATCAAGAAGCACATCTGGCCTAACGTGCCTGATCCTTCTAAGAGTGTTATTGCCCAGTGGTCACCACAAACACCATCAAAGGTAAGAACAAAAACAGACTATTCTGAAGTAATTTGTCGTCCTCATCATTGTTTATTTGTATGCTGCCTTTCCATAGTTAAACCACTAATGTGGCAGTAGGATGTAAAAGGATAGTAATGGTTGGGAAGTGAAAACAGGCTAGAAATAAAATATTTTATTGTGGAATTTAATAGCATCCATTCTTGGGATATGAGTATCCCTGCCACAAAAATTCTTCATAGTCCAACAGTAACTGTGACTTTGTGTTTAAAAACAGGACTTGCATTAACAGAAACCGAAACTGAGTCTTCAGAACAGTGTAGAGATGTTACAAATTGCTCCAGAAATTAGTAGCTGAAAAGTGTTGTATTGCAAGGGAAAATCTTGAGTGGAGAGTTGCTTCTTGGCACTTGACCTCTGCCACAAGTACAGAAAGAAGGGGAATAATAACTTGACACTGAAGGAAAGGGCATTTCCGATATTAGGCCCAGAACGAGTGTTCACCGCCAGGTGCACTCTTGCACCATTGAAATAATAAATATGAATGCCTTTAGGGCAGAGGTGAACAGAAGATAGATAACAAATTTCAGGTAGATCTTTGGATGGTTTTTAGTAGATTACTGATGTTGCTGCAAACAGCTGGAGATCAGAAAGCAACTTTTTCCTTTGGATAACACTGCTGAAATAAAGCTTGGGGGGGATTTGGAATAGAGAGCTCATTTCTGGTAATGAAAACAAATTGCTGGGCTGAGAGGCACTCAGAGGTGCTCTCGTCTTCAATTCTAAGAACACCTCTGCCCCTCTTTCTAATCAACTGAATTGTGCTTGGCTCCAGCTGGTGGATCTGTGGGGTCTGAGAAAAAAACAAAGATCCTGCAGGCTTGAAATCTGTCTACTCCTTTAGGGAACATGGAGATTGCTACAACAAACTCTCATGTATTGAGATTTAAAGATGAAAAATAAAAAGAAATACCCAGTTAGATGCAAGGTCCAGCACTTCTCATTTGAAAAGTTGTGAAGGAGGGAATTATTGTTGCATTTTTGAATCCGTAAACATGGAAGAAACTTAATATTTTTAATCCGTTAAGTAGAAATAATTAATTTGCTATCCTGGAGAGAATCCAATTTTATATACAGAAACTTTTTGAACCATGTTTGGGGAATAATGCAAATACGGCAGTAGCACTGTTGTGAACTTTGAATAATTCAGTATTTAGGCGAGAGGGCGTTAAAGCCAAAAGACTGAATTGGAGCTGCACTAACTCGCTGTTCAAGTAGCTATAAGTCCTAGAAGGCTTTTTGAGTGCATGCTAACAACAGCATAATCTAGATCCTGAACATAGTTAATCAAGTTGCATCATTTAAAGGTAGCATTAATTAAATCTATGGTTTTTTCCTTAGCATTTTCATCATTCCAAAGATCAAATATATCCAGAAGGCAGCTTTACTGATGTCAGTGTGGTTGAAATTGACAAGAAGTCATTTTCTGAACAGGATCCTAAGCCTTTTGACTTGCTTAGAAAGGAGAAAAATGCCTCAGAAGGGCACAGCAGTGGTATAGGGGGGTCATCCTGCATGTCTTCTCCTCGACAAAGCGTTTCTGACAGCGATGAAGGCGAACCTGCTCAAAATACTTCCAGCACTGTGCAGTATTCAACTGTTGTACCCAATGGCTACCGGGACCAGATACCTTCAGTCCAAGTCTTTTCAAGGTCTGAGTCAACGCAACCTCTACTAGACTCAGAGGAGAGGCTCGAAGATCCGCCAGTGCTGGGAAGCGACAACTCGACACCAAGGCATCGCTATTTCAAACAGAATTGTAATAACGATGATACAGTCATGGATGAGCCTCATTTGGATGGGGCAAAACAGATTTCTCCAATAAATGAGGAAGATGCTGCTGGACCTCAGACTTTGCAAATGTGTAGCTCTGGCCCAGATGAACATGAGGTTGCCTTAGCAGGTGCTTTCCACCCAAGCCCCAAAGGACTAGCTGCAGAGTTTGAAACAATGAGAACAAATGCAGTGACAGAGGATGAGGTCCCAAAGTGTTACTTACCACAGACCGTAAAGCAGGGTGGTTATATGCCCCAGTGAGGAGACACTGCCACCAGTAGACACTGTTACATTATTGGTTCTGATAAGTTAAACTGTTTTTTTTAATCTTGCTTCTGCTGAACAATTCAGGTTCATTTATGGAAGAAAACGTGGACAACATGGGTTTGCGGACTTTGATTTAAGTTGGAAGTTTCCACCCGTTCTTGCAGAAATATTCCTTCAAGCACTACATGTCACTCAACTTTTCAGGCAAATTAGTTGCCATTCAGTTTTCTTCTGGGGCATCACACTTCTTTTAAATTAAAATGGAACACACCTCGTTTTGCTAGAGGTAACGGCATAGAGATGGAGACTGACTGTGAATACCTTCTTACAGGATGAAGAGATTAGTGTATTATATTATGAAATGTGCTCTTTTCATCAACTTTGTTGTCAGCTATGTAAAAGTACAGTGTTTTATATTGGAACAACTGTGCTTTAAAAATAATCTGGAGACCAAATCTGTGGCCAAACTTATGGCAGAATCAAAATATTAGAATGGCATCTAATATTCCCAGATTAATGGACCAGAAACATTTTGTTTGGAAATGTGCCCTCCTTGCCAGTCAAGAACTACAAGCCAGTGGAGTGAGATATTTACATGAATCATGACTATCAAAATACTATTAACGTCAAATGCCAGTATTTCATACCCTTCCTGTCTTGCAAATTGAGCCAAATCTACTGCCGTTTAAACACTTTTAGAACTCATAACCTGTGCACTTATAAGTGCACTTTTTTGCTTTTTATCAGGATAGACTTGGGTGAAGTAAACATATTTAATAATAGATAATGAAGTTATATAGTAAGTGTGTTTTTAAGGGGGAAAATCCACTGCTCTTTCTGACTGCCAATGCCAGGTTCTAGTATTCCCTGCTGCCATTATTAATTTGTAGAACAGAAGAAGAAAACTACATAGCCATGGCGGACCCACAAAGACATCTTGAAGAACTGCAATATTGGCACTCTGCATGGAGGGTTTTCTCTTTCGCCAGTGAATAAATCTAGAAACATTTCTTGCAGATTCTATTTGTATTTAATATAAAATCATTAAGTTGAGACTGATTTTTGAAGCAATCCAAAAGCACTACAATTGTTTTAACAGGAAATAAAGCTTAATTTGATTCTTCCTCAACAATTTAACTATGGTAGTGATTGTGTTTTGAAATCTCAGTGGCTTTTACTTTGTAAGCTCTTGCACTGTAATTGGTGGCTATGAAGATCAGCCAGCCAATCTCTTAAGAATGAATAGCTGTAAAACACAGTTTAATGTTTTAAGGGTTTCTTCTATAAAAACAATTCTGATTACAGCAATGTTCTTGGAGTTCATAAATTATAATAATGAGTTTGTGCCATGACCACCCCAGAATTGTTTTTTATGTTGAGCTAATAGATTTACTCTTCACCTGCTTGTAGTGCATGGCTCCTTAATGCCACTTTTATGATGCCGTCAGTTATACTTCATCCAGTGCTCTAAAAATGTAATGAATGCCAACAATATTCAGTCCATAGTTTATTGTGATTTTTCTATTTTTCAGAAACAAATCTTCCCAAGATTTATTTTGGGGGAAAGCAAAGTTTACACTGTGAATAGTGTTCTGGGTGCTTAACTAAACCTGCAATCCTAACACCTTACCTGGGAGTAAGCCCCATTGTGCTTTTTGAACTTGTCCTATACAGACCCCGGTAAAATAAATGTAAGTTTCTCAGTGGCAAAAGCAGTCTGTTGTGACCATAATACATTCTTCTTATATGGTATCACAAGTGTCAGAATCCCATTTTAATGCTTGAGCTGTCTGTCTTCATGTTAGTCTCCAACACAGACAATTTAGTTCTACAATCACCTTACTTCATTACAGTTAAATATAGTTTAAAACACGTTGTTTGAAGCTTAGACTCGCCTTTCCTTGTTTAGCAAGCTTACCTCACCAAAATTTAAAAATATTTTAAAATAAATTTTAAAAATGGATCTTCAGTGGAAGTACTCATGAAAAGTTTTATTGAGCATTTTCAAAAGTTTGTCACAGGGTATGGTATGAGACAACATGGAACTATACCTTGCTAAAGCTTAGTAGGTTTAGGTCTGGTCTGTCCTGAATGGGGACTACCTAAGAGTCATTTATGCCTTGCCTTGGGTTCCATAATGAAAGAAAGGCAAGCTATAAATTGTTTTCCTTCTCTGGTACTCTAAATGCGCAATCCCTCTTAGTGATTTGTTATGCAGAACACAGAGTATTGTCTTGACATTTATTTGGGAGGGGCTGTCTCAATCAAATCAATGCCGCTAACAGTGCAATCTTATACATGTCTACTTAAAAATAAGTCCCAGAGTTCAATGGAGCAAGCTCCCAGGTGTGTATGAAATAAGAGTACAGAATTCTAGCCTTAAGTTTGCAATCCTATGCACACTTCCTAGTTCCATTGAAACCAGTGGAATTTAACTTCTGAAGCTTTTCTGGTGTGCAGAGAGGAAATGTCCAATCGCCCATTGCCTGTGAAAGTTGGGCTTTAGTTCCACCTGCTGGTTGAAGGCAAGATGAACTCTTGGGAAGAGGAAGCCCCCTCAATTCAGTTTACTCCTGCCTTTGTGTATTATTTAATACACCATTATAATGTTGAAAAGAGGGTTTTGAGATTTTGCTTCATTTGGCCACATCAAAAGCTGATTTGTGACATTAAAAAATATCACCTAACATCTTCCTCAGGCATGTCAACACTAAATTGCCTGAATCCAGTTAACAGGCAATGTAAGGTAAAAGGTTATTTACATGCTCTATATATGTATCTTTGTGGGGGAGATTTCACATGTGACATGCTTATTTTCTGTATTGAGAAAGCCACACTGCAGAAATTGACCTTAAAGCACTGCTTTCAAAAAATACAAAACCAAAAAAACCTGAACACCTGTTTCAGAGTTCTGAAGCAAGCTGAAATAAAAATGTAAACCTTTTTTAAGGTTAAGTATTACCCATTCCTTTGTGAGAGATAGAATTGTTATGTAATAAAATTCTACATACATGTAATTTTGTTCATAAAATTCAAACTAATGTGGCATTAAGTGTGACTTATAATTAAACACTGTGGTTTACTTTATCATGCATGGATTTAAACCAGATTCTGTTCTTAAATACTCAGAATTAAGGCTGAGTTCAGTAGGACTTGCACATGGGTGCCTTGCTTGCATTTGGTGTCAGTGGAGTGAAACAACAAAGACCTTCATACAAGCTCTGAGTTCAGATGTTCTGGAGCAATGCATTCCCTAACTCTGTATAGCATTTGTACATAGGCTGGTTGCAGGGATAGTACGAATACATTAACAGTTTATGCTGATACATGCATTCCATCCTATGTAATATGCTACCCATGTCTCTTTCTCACCCAATACTGCCTCCTTATGTTGCTTGTTAGCTAAAGTGATGGACCAACAAAATGTATGGAGATATACCATGCTCTGTTCTGACTGATGGGTGGAATGTTTGCTGGAGAACTTTGTCTTTTAAGTCTGCAGAAAAGTTGGAAACCTCATTTGATTTCAAAACAGCTGTGAAAATTTGATGCTGAACATCAGTATTGTAGCTTACTGCTCCAGACATATATCTGGTAAAGGTTCATAAACACCTTTTGATTGTCAACTCACAGTAATGCACACAGTGCTTAATTTTTCATCGGGACCTGTCTATGCTGCAGCTTGATACAACCATTTACAATCATTCACATGACTAATCTATGTACTCTAGGAGGAAGGTTCTTGTCTGGGGCAATTAACTAAGATGTACTGCCTACTTTCTGTCTGGCTTGGCTAGGTGTGACCTGTTTCAACCAAGACCATACAAATGCAAGATAAAATCTCAAAGATAAGGCACGGTCTTGAAGTTGCAGCCACTCAACTTCAATAGGTCACACTTTAGTGAAGACAACCTTCCACTAAAAAAAAGGAAAGCTGTGCAAACATCTTTCAGGCATGCCTGGAGCAATTCCCAGAATTTCTTGGGCAGTTGTTTCAGGTCAACTGACAGTCAATTCAGCTCCCAACTAAGCACTGACATACAGTCAACTGCTAGCATAAACAAGCCCTTGGCCATCCCTTATATAAGAACTTCTGATACCCATTCTCATCTCTATATAGATGCATGTTTGTCATCCTCACTGTTGTGCAAACTATTGTTAACATATCTATTTGTGTAGCCGTCAGTGTTTTTGGAGTACCATATGTTGTATGTGTATGTTGCTTTTCTAGCTGCATAAGACTATGAAGTCATAATTAAAAGTTGTCTTTTTGTTTCTCAGTATTTCCCAGCAGTGTTTTGCTTTGTGTTTGTTTTGTTACATTATATTCATTAGTGCAGTGGCTACAAAACTGTAGGTCCATATATACTGCTGTGCTGGAAGAGAAATATTTTGGAAAAGTCTCACCTGTTTGATGCAGCCACCTCTGCCCATTAAAGCAGGCTGACATTTAAAGCATTGATCCCTTCTCTGCCACTATATGGGTAGCAACACCAACTGGAGAGAACAAGGATGCAGTGGGCTTCACTGAGGTGGTCTGTGCTACAGCTGAGTTAGAATCTGTAGCACAGGCATTGTTTACTGATTAAGAAACTCATGAGTGTGAAGGCTACCTCAAATTTTAATCCAGAAAAAGGAAACTGGTCCAGTTATTAAAAGTATGGGGGAAACATAGGATGGCATGCAAGGTAGCCAACATGATGCTCTCCTGCTGTTGTGGACGACTCCTCAACCCAGCCAGGATGGCCAAGAGTTAAGAGATGGAAGTTGTGAACTACAACACTTGTAAGGTTGGCTATCTCTGCCCTAGAGGCCACTAGGTCAGAGAACCCTTGCCCCTTCACAAGTCCATCTCCTTTGTGCAGGACTATTTGTATTCTACCATCTTGTAAGAACTAGGATGGTTCAGTGGTCAAGTGTGATTCAGAAAACAGCCTGTACAAGTCTTAACAACATAGCTTGACTTACCAGAGATACTGAAGAGGTTCCTCAAGACTTGCAGAGAAGCTGTGCCTCTTCCTTGAATCTGAAAGCCTGAGCTACAGTAATCACCTTCCTTTTCCCTGTTGTCCAGAAAAAGACAAAGTCTGGAAAGCAATCTGAAGATGAATGGCTAACATATATTGTCCTCCTCCCTTGAAGCTCACAGAGGGGGAAGTAACAGGAATAGTTTACAAAAACATTAAATATTCTCTAAGATGTCACACAGGACTTGCGTGTCTTTAGTGCAACTAGCCATTATGCCCATGTCACAGAAGTACAAATGTGATGGCCTGGAACCATTTTAGTTTATTTCGTAACAAAAAGGACCGTCCATAGAAATTTGTCACATCCACACCATACTCTGAATAGTCATGGCTTCTCTCAAAGAATATTGGGAACTAAGAGATCTGTGAAGGGCAAACGACAGCTCCCATGTTTCTTTGGGGGAAGCCATGACTGTTCAGGTGGCATAAGAATGTCTTAAATGTATGGTATGGGTAGAACCTCTAATGTTGCTTTACTGAGCCAATTTCCCACTCTGCCACACAAAAATCTAGCAATGACTAGTCTATGTCCTAATGCTATACTGTATTATCTTGCTTCACAATAGAGCTGCAAAGTCAACAACTGCACAGACATTGGCAATGACAAGAGTTGGGAATAGGCAAACCCTGTGGGAGTTATCAGGCAAAAGTGAGGTTAATATGAAAAACTGGCATTTTTCTATTACCATTGGTTGCCTGAACTAGTCACAGTATACTCACATTCTGTTCATGAAATGGAATGTTTCACGACGTCCTTGAAAGATTAAACTCCACTCCTATTCACTTCACTCCAGTCTCACTTGTTACTCAGGGCTGAAACATATGCTATCCCGTCACTTGCAACTACATAACAAAGCCATCTAGAATTTAGCAGACTATTTAATGCTTTAATTAGCATTTTTTTCCAGCAGCTCAGAGTAGGATGGTACATTAAATAACAAGTCTCACACCAATATTTACAAATTTGATCTTGTTCATGTATCTTGTATCAATGTTTTGTATATGAGCAATTTATGCAGCATTTTAATATATACCATGTTTGTTAATATTTATGATGTTTGTCCTCACAATAAATCTGTAGTGTACATCACTACTGTTTCCACTGACATATGGAGACTGGGGTCTTAAGCCATTGAAGGTGTTCATTAACTGTATGAGCAGAGACGGACTGTGCCAGTTCCACATCTGACTTTCACACAATTTAAACGGGGCTTGTAAGCCTCTTAGGCTGAATGCAATGAAAGCCCTCCCCCAGATCAGGAATTCAGACTACACAGTTTAACAGGCTTACAATCCCCATTCAGACCTTCCTGCGTTGAGTAGTTGGGACAGGTACAACCTGTCTAGATGCAATGTCTGAATAGGCAAATTTGTGGCAAAAGCAGCACTTCTACCATATAGGAATACCGACAGGGCTGCCATCTAGAAAGGGCATGTAGATCTCCTGGCTAGGGCATAAGTGGATAAAAAGGCTTTTTGGTTTCCCTAGGACCCAGGTCATCACCACAGGTGATTGCATGCCATGTGCTTAACCTCTAAAAGTGGCTGGTGTGGTCAGCTTTGGTAGTTGTGATCACTTGATATGGGAATGCAATGGAACAAATTCCAAGTCCCATCCTTTGCTCATCATTTCAGCATCTGTTTGGACAACTAAGAGCAATTGTGGGGGATTATAATCTACGAAGTTTATTTGTGATGCTGTCTCATTTCACCCACTCAACATCTACTTGCACCTTGCTGCTGTATTAGGAACACCTACCACCAACAATTGTTTTTTTCATTTACCTATATGCAAACCAAGTAACATATGACTCCACAGTAAGGTGGATTGAAACAATGGAATATTTGTACTATGTACGTTTTGGTATCTATCCAAATAAGGTACCATATCAGTCACTTGAATAGGATTTTTGCCTAAGGAACTTTGTCCTTAATGCTTTTACTTTTCTTTTCTCTTATGTTATTTTTTACTTAGTTGTATATGCTCCCATGCTCACCAGGTAGGTATGAAATATTAGGACTAAAATCATTAGAGGGTTTTTAAAAGGTGCACTGGTATTCTAGAACACTTTGAGGATTGTGAGCATTTTTAAAAATATGTTTTCAATCCTCTGGTGTCAAAGCTTCCCAGTTGACTTTCTCCCCATATTCTGATGGCCACAGAGGTTTGGGATGCAGAGAGATCGCCACCCCCTCCATCTCTGATCACTCTTTCTTTGGGTAGAGGGTGTGGGGGAGAAATATAGTGCCTCCATATGAATTACAACTACTTCGTTTTTGCTAATGAACAGTGGACCATGGAAAGCCATCAAATGCCTGATGCCAATTGAAAATAGGACGGAGAACTTCATGTCCTAAATAATGGTCACAGCTAAACGAAGTCTGCAACACTCTCCTTGACTCAGGCAGCAGCAGCAGCAGCAGCATCATGCTTCTTTCAGTGAATCATAGAACTGTAGAATTGGAAAAGACGAGGGTTATCTAGTCCAACTCCCTGCAATGCCCAACGTGGTACTCCATTAAATTACTCTGAACAGGGCTTTGAGAACAGTTTAACTGCATCCAGTGCCACATAACACTGTCCTGTTACAAAAACTGGTTGGCCTTTTGTTCCTTCTGTATTTTGGCATAAGAACTCTCTTGTATGGACCGAGTTTTTCAAATATAGGTTGAACTCAGTTTTCTCCTTCAACTCTGGCTGATCGTGAACTTCATCATCTCCATAATCTCTAGAATCCACTTTTGGAGCTGTAATTGGTGGATTCCTGAAATCATGCCCCAGAGAGGTTGATTGTGCAAGAGGTACTATAGCTTCATGTTCTTCACTGCACAAAATCTCATGGTTGGCCATCAAGAAGTCTGAGGTAACATCAGTCTGGTTCAACCAGGTTTCAAGGGTCAGTGAGTGTAATTCATCATGATCCTTTTCGCAAGGATCTACCCTCAAAACACTGAGTGTCTCATTCTCAGAGGGTGAGTTTCTCAACATTGTCTTCTCCTGGGAGGAGAAAAAGAGAAAGAAAGAGGATGTAAAGTTAAGTAATTAAGTTCCTCTTGAGTCTTTACCAAAAGAAAAAAATGATTAAGTCTCCAAAATTTGCAGAAACTTTGAAAGTGTAATTTCCTCCAGTGAGTCCTTCCCTTTTGGAATCTTGCTAACAAACTACAAGTAAGCCTGCAGATGAGCAACTGTCCATCTGTTACACTCATAATCTCACATTGTTTGAATGATCCTCAAAGTAATATGAGTGCAGCCTGCTTGCTAATAATATGATTATAATCAATACCATGGACGCAAAAAGGAAAAGTCCTATTAACAAGTCTGTTCTGTCCTCCTTCATTCTAAGGAGAGGATGATGCCAGGTGACATTTTCCATCCACATGAGTTCTCAACCCCACTATAATATGCCCTAGTCCAGCCTGACTAACCTTTTTTGGCCCTAGAATCACCTCTCTCAAGGAAAGGCTAGAAGCAAAATTCAATTTTGTTTACATTTTAATAAGAAGCTACCCAGTTCACATTTCTCAAATTGATTCACAGATGTTCTTAGAAATTCACACTTGTCCAAATTTTGCAATGCAGTTTTCTAGTCAAGTAATGTACACAAAAAATGCATATACTAGGGTAAAGTGTGCATTAAAATGCACACATTGTTGAATATAATATGCAAAAATGTATTATATTGGGGAAATTGCTTACAAAAATGTATGCATTATTCAGAACTGCTTACAACAATGAGTTTATTAGGGGAAATTCACAATGAAATGTTGACTACTCTTAATGAGATGTTGTTGTTTTTTAATTGCAAATTGCTCTAAAGAAATGTAGAGAACTGAATCTAAGATTGGAAAAATGACTGATTTGCCCATCCCTTTATGAGGGCCACAGTCCAGCAAGTAAGCATGGTCAATGCAAGTGCATGAGCCCACCCCACTCCATTTGTGGCGTGGGGGTGTTCCTGCTGGAAATTCTGCCTTTTACTTTGCACAGAATGGTCTCTCTAAAAGCCTGGAATTAAATAACACTCTTCTGTAGAGAGTGATCTCTAACGATCATGCAGTAACTCCAGATCAGATCAAAAGACTACCTGTGGCTTTGCCAGCTGAATCAGGCTCACAGGTTAGCCACCCTAGCCATAGACCAGTCAGAAAGAGAGAAATGATAACCACACTTTTATGAATGTTTAAAGCACTTCACATACACTATCCTAGTAATCCTTGCAACCACCCTGTAAGTTAAGCATTATCCTCAGTATTGCAGGAAGAGGAACAAAGAGGAGACTCCTGGAAGAAGTAGCCCCCTCTCTTCCATCTACCACTGGCCACAGCTCTACTTCCCACTCTTCAAGCAAAAAGGGCAAGTGTCTGTTGCTTGGCTTTGCAAGTCATCAGCTGGCAACAGCTGCTACTGGGAGCTGCTATTGCCTAATGGAGAGGGCAGGCAAGTAATAGTTTGGTGGAGGGGAAGGGCAGGAGCAAACACAAGCATGAAAGGGAGACCAGAGCAAAGCGAACTCTCATGCATGCCCACAAGGGAAGTCAGGTTGCAGGGCAGTGTAATGATCAGGGACAGCCCTGGCCACCACACACATCTATTAGATATTATTTTTCTTCTATTTTCAAACAAATTATCACACCGGATCAGCAAAAATTATTCATTACCTGAAATCCATTGGGAAAACTTGGTAGTACCGGATGTGGGATTTCAGGCCAGCAAATCTTTTTCAACCTGCCAAAACAAAATTTATCCATCTAATACAGGTATTTATTGACACCTATTAACAAGAAAAACCATTTAAACTAAGTTAAAATCAAGCCCCTTTTCCTCCGTCATAATAAGTTTTTAATTTATGTAACTTGCCATAATTCAGTAATAAGATTTCTCAGCTCAGGGAGTGGCTCTGCCTTTCCTTTGTAGGGGTTTGTTTTCCAGACACATATTTAACAAGCAAGAAACTTTAAAAAAAACCTATGCTTCCATTTACTACAATGCCTCATTTTCACCCATATAAAAAGACTTATGCAAACATTTACTCACGTGCGTCTTTTCAGAGCCCACAATAACCCAACAGTTGTTAAGCATAGCATGAAAAATCCAACAATGACAAACAGAAGAATAATATCTGTCTCACCTAGCAGGGGAAAGAGGAAGGGCAAAATGACTTCAAAATATAAACATCCAAGAATTTTAGGTTATCTCAAAAGTAAGTGCCAATGAGTTCAGTGGGACTTACTCTTGTTTACTGAACTATACTATATTTTAGCACTTAAAAGGGGAGAAGGGGCTACAGTCTTGTAGAGAGGTCCCCAGTAAGAAAAAGAAAGAAATTCCATCAAAGGACTTGTGGTGCATCTTATTGTTGCACTTTTGACATATATAATGAACCACATAGATGGCTGCTGTAGAATGCAACTACATGGGTGTCACACAGCAGGGGGGGAGGCTGTTTGTGTGTAGCAGCTTCCTGTCATGATACTGCATATCCTCCCCAGAAAGCTTTCAGCACAGTGCCCTGTCCATACAGTTGTGACCTGATTTAGTACTACTAAGCTAGGATCAACTCAGCAGGGCATGTATATTTCAAGAAGGTAATAACCTCAGCACTAGAGGAGTGGCCTGTAAGAACATTCTTACATGTATAATGGGAAAAAAGTGAGATCACGTACAATCACAAGTTGGAAGTGCACCCTTTCTATGAGTTTATGTCAACTGTACATCCTTTCAGTCAACAGAATTAAGGTTTCCTGGATTTCACTTTGTGCTGTAACAGTGTTGGAGAAATAGGCTACCCTTTCTGAGGCCCAGTTCACCACACTTTAAAAAGCGACCCATGAACAGAAAATTATTTGCACTGAGTAACTTACTAAGTTTATGGGTGATGAAATCTAGCTCTGTTCCATTGGTTCCTCCAGCCATGGTGCTTGCCATAACATGAGCTGTGTACTTGGTGTTAGCTTGCAAGAATTTAAGGCGGTATTCTAGCACATCAGCACTCACTGTTTCTCCTAATAAGACACAAATTTAGGGTTAAATGTTCATCTGGTCTAGTATATATGAAATTCTTTTAAGCTTGAAGGATCTTCAAGAGCCATACAAAAGTAAACAGATTTTTTTTTTTACTACCAAGAGTTATGAGATGCTGCTGCTCAGCAAAACGGACAGCACGACGCATGTGACAAAATGTAAAATGATATTTTATTAGACAGAGAGAGTGGAATCTGCAACAAAATACTGCAGTGCATTCATGCCCCCTAAGAGGAGTGATGCAGATAGAAACAGCTTCGTGGTGCAATTCAGGCTTCTTGAGGTTTGTGTTTCAGGAGTTGAGAAGTAATCATGAACACTCTTTTTCTTCCCCCACTGGAAATATGGGGCTGGAGGGCTGGCAGCCCCGAGCCTGAGCATTTTATAATCATATAGCACACACAGTAGTGGGTGTAGCCAAACTTTCTTCAGCAAAGCTTTTCAAACTATGTCACAGTAAGCCAGAAAAACAAAAAAAAATGAATTCCCCACATGTAATAACAAACTTGTTGACAAAACTAAGTTTGGCACCAGGTTTGAGAACAGACAAACCAAAGGAAACAAAGAGCCATTTAAAAGACAGGAAAAGAATTAAGTGATTGGCTCCTGTTCCAAGCACTAACAAAACAACATTAACCCTGCATGACATGTTTGGAAGGTCCAGGGATGGGTGTGAGCCAGCAGGTAGCATTCTGCCTCCACACCAAATCACATGTGCCCTTTTCCCTGGCAGTTGTACCAAGGCAAATGTGTTGGATTACAAACAGAAAGCTTCCAAATTTTTCAGCTGTTCCTTTCCTTACCAGCAATCCATGCCAACATATGGAGGCCACCTGAGACTAAAGAACAGCACTATAGCCAAACACTGCTAAGAAGTGGTATTATGACAGCCTTCTAACTTTCTGCCTCATATGTGTATACGTACCCAATTCTTTTCCACCATCAGCTTTGTAAAATATAGTGTAGTTAATAATATCACCACGTCTGTCTGCTTTTTCAATTTCCTCCCACATTATGGCAGCTTCACTTTTATCAAAATATTTCACCACAGCAGTAGGACCTCGGATTGGGCCTAAATGATGTAGGAAAATACAGCCAACAAAACTTTAATAAAAGAAATGATGTCGTGAATGGTGTTCAGTGTTGCTAAATGCATAGCAATGTAGAAAAACAAGTTTTGAAATAACTAATGCAATTTTACATACCGTATTTTTTGCACCATAACACTCACTTTTTTCCTCCTAGAAAGTAAGGGGAAATGTCTGTGCGTGTTATGGAGCGAATGCCTATGGATGGCAGGGGGATCTGCTGCAGTCGTGAGCAGAGGATCCATGGTTCCCCTTGCTTCCCTCCTCCGTGGCTTGCTTTGAAACAGCAAAGCGAGAGAAGAGCCGCTGAGTGGGGAGGAGAGAGAGACAGAGAGCCTGCTTGCTTTAAAGGAGCAAAGCAGGAGAGGAGAGGCGCCTTCTCCTCTTATACCCCTCTTCTGCGTTTTTAACAGCATCCTTCTCCACCCACCCCACGCGTGTTCCTTGTCCCTTGAGTGCTTTTCCTTCCCTCCCCACTAAAAACGTGGTTACAAAGCACGGATCCACATGGATCCTCAGGATTTTTGCACTGGGTCACCCCAAATTCACCATCAGATCACATAGCATGTCCATGGCTACAGCCTGCACCAAAAAAATCACACACACACTGTTGCCTGGGGCCGCAGTGGTACAAAAACGTGGTTACAATGCATGGATCCACATGGATCCTCAGGATTTTTGCATTGGGCTACCCCAAACTCACCGTCAGATCACATGTCTGTGGCCACAGCATGAACCACAAAAATCATACATCCACTGTTTCGTTTAGCATATTTTTTTTTCTTGTTTTCCTCCTCTAAAAACTATGTGCGTGTTATGGCCGGGTGCGTGTTATAGAGCGAAAAATACGGTATTTAACAGAACAATCCTATTGGAGGTAGTCGTAGGAAGGGAGAACCCAAAGCAGAGGAACTAAAAGATTCAAAGCTGACTTATTCAGGTAGGATTAAGGGAGACTGATATTTGCCACAGAGGCAATAATTTATACGTACTTCCTTCTTGAAAGTAGGTTCTGGTGGAACTCGGCGCTTTTACTTCACCTTTATGTAAGGGATACACTGAAATGTTGTAACAGATATAGGGATTGAAGGTTCCTGGAGGGAGGGGAAACAAGATGCACAGAATGTTACTGCTCTTTCAAGATGTGCAGCAAGACTTTTAATTACACATAACATAACATAACAGAACAGAACATAAAACATAACATAACATTCACTCACACAGCAGCAACAGAAAAGCCACATGCCAGAATCAGGACTTTACAAACTTAGGACCTTTCCTTTATGACATATTTTCCTTGCTATATTGAAAAGCAGTATAGACTAAGAAACCTGAAAGGCCCAATTTTTATGTAGGATAAAACCAATATAAATGCAGCAATAGCTATTTTTAGACTTTTTCTTTCTTAAAAACGACTCCTGGAACAGCTGATAACCAGACTTTTTATGCCAATACAGAAATGGAACTAGACTGTTTTGAGGAGTTTACATTAAAACAAAGCACCATCACTAGATGGGATATAAACACTAGAAGTAAATAAATGTGTTTCCAACTTGTGGAGTTTTTCTCCAATAGATATTATGTATTGCTTGCAGCCAAGGAAATAAGGCTGCACAGTAGTATAAAGACCTTCATGTGACAGAAATCCACTCCCTTCTGTCTGTCCCTATCAGAATAGTCCACATTTTCAAAACCAATAATCTGAAACAGCTCAAGCAATTTCAGCATGGACTATTCTAGAGGACTTTAGCAGTGAAGAACAGCATTGCACCCATGTGCTTACCACTCAGAGATATTTGCTAACATGCAACCAAACGCAAAAGTACATAAATAAATACCCAACTGGAAACTGTCTCAACATAATGCTGTATTGTTTTAACACTCGATTGGGAGCTGCCCAGAGTGGCTGGGGAAATTCAGCCAGATGGGCAGGGTATAAATAAATTATTATTATTATTATTATTATTATTATTATTATTATTATTATTATCTTTAGATAGAAAAAATGGGGAGTAAAGATACAGAAATAAATACATTGGGTTTAAAAGATAGTCTCCAGAACCCTTACCTGTTGGAAATGTCCAGTTTGTGACATTTGTTATATATTCCCAAGATCTGTTGTATGGATCTGTCTCCAGTTCATTATACCATTCTATAATGTATTCATTTATTTCTAACTCTGAAGTTTCCCATTCCAAAAACAAATGCTCCTTTAAAGCAGAAGTATTCAAGCTAAGAATCCTTTGGAGATCTAAGAGAATGATTGCTGACATTAGCAGGAATGTTGACTTAAGCAGACTTCAGCAATTCAACTGAATATTATTGTGATTAATAAAATATTTGAGAACAGAAGACAGAAGGGAGCAGAAGGGTATGTAGCAATAGCAATCCTTCCTAAGAAAACCTTTTAACATGATCCCCTACAGAAAACAAGGTACTCTGAAAAGCAATACTCTTTCTACATTCTACATTTTATCAATACAGCGTAGGATGCAAAAATAAATACACAATGAATAAGCAGTGAGACTGCATTGCAATATCCTTGCAGACAGGGATTCAAGTACAAAGAGACGTCTTGGATTAGAAGTCCCATTTCTTAATTCTACCTGCACTAAAGTAATACTGCTTACTCAGTATCAGATAAGTCTTGATATTTAGGAGGCTATTTAAGACATTTTTGTTTTAGATGTATGCTCCATAACTAAGTATTTGCTGTTTTGCTCTTTTTGCAAGCAAATGCTACAACCATGTAATTGTATTTTAAAGAAGATCTGAAAGGGGATACACATTTACAAACACAATGACACATATCAACACCCGAACCACAGTGACCTATTACTACATTTTTAAAAAATCACACATTTTGATCACATAAACTCACTCATGCTTTCTTCATGTATTGATGGAATTTTCAAAACAGCCTCAGGAGAATCTCCAGCTATATTATGAGCAACAACACTGATCAAATAGGCTTCTCCTGTCAATTCGAAATTACTCGAATTATTTTTAGCGTTGACAGTTTTTTCAAAAGGAGGATTGGTTTTTGTAAAATACTTTATTCTGTAGCTATCTATTCTTCCAGAAGATGGGAATTCTTCATGTTTCTGTTAAAAAACAAAGCAAAATAGGACAGCATAGCAATTGAAGAAGATACGACTCTTAAGACTTGTGTGCATTAACCTGAGAAAGCAGTGCTGAACACAATGGGACTGCTGAGCAAACATGTATAGGATCACATACACTGCATAAAAACTAAAATGCAAGTCACACATACACCGAAAAGGACAGAGATGGGATCCTCTCTCCCCCTCTATACATATACGCATATACTTCTCATGGAATCAGAAAGCTCTGAAATATGCCAACCAGTTTTGAAAAGTTGGTTATCCAATAAGTTTGCAGTCCATACACACTTGAGTTTACATGTACTGTAAAGGATTGCACTGTTAAATCTGGTCTTGAAATTTATTTCCATCTTTTGCTTACAGGAAGTTTACAGCAAGTGGTTTTGCACTGTACCTTGCGGTCTTGATTCACTTAATACCAGCGATAGGTCAGCAAATCATTACAAATTTATTTACTGTTCTTATTTCCATTACTCTCAGGAAGCAAGGGCAAGCTGCTGTTTCTCAGCTTAATGATCTTCAATCCAATCATTGCATATCTACTTCATCAGATTGACATGAATTTTGCAATAATGCACTAGCAGGTTGCTTTCAATATCAAGGGAATAAATAAATGGTATGCCTATATATGCCACAATACCTACTACTCTGCATAAAAAAAAATACTTTCCACCAATTCTGTGCTACTTTGTGAGCCATACCAACACTCCAGTTTTTGGTTTTTCCTTATTTTACTGTTTATATTTTAATGTATTTTATTTATTTCTATCATGCAACACCCTAGAAACTTATTCTCAAGGGGAGCTCAGACATTTTCAGGATAAATACATAAACATTTCCTGTATGTACCCTCCAGGCAAGTTTACAACCTAGTGCCGATTGCCTGGCTTATAGGAAACAGCGCTTCCGTGTAGGACTTTAACACACATCAGTGGCAATGTGTGCTATTGTGGATTTTTGTCTGCAGTCACCCTAATTGTGCAAATTATTTCATTTAATACATCTGTATATTACCTTTCCAATTCATTGTTAAAGGTGTTTCACAGAAAAATAGAAACTTTACAGAAGGCATCAACAGGAGGGAAGGCACGAGATAGTAAAATCTTTTCCCAGAGCCTAAAGGAGAGCTATGTAGGTGCCAGTCAAACTGCCCTTGGGAGGATGCTCCATGGTCAGGGCACCACAATCCAAGCAGTAGAATCGCAGGCTTGTCCTCCAGTAGCCACCTTTCCCAACTCCAAAGCTGGGGACACTTGGAGCAGCGCAATGGCCTCACACAGATGTACTGCTTTGTACAATCTGGGGCTTCACACAATCTCTGCAGAGTTGCAACACCACTACAACATGTGTGCACTCCCATAAACTACTGTAGGAAGTTGCAGGGTGTATAAGACCAATTGATTTTGAGTCCTCACCACCATCCTGCCACTTGCTTCTGCTTTTGGCAATTTTTCTCCCAAACATTTATGCAACCATTTAAAAAAACCCAACACCACCAGCCAGGATTCTTAAGACTTCTGTATGATATTGCAAGCTACACTGAAGAATCTCATGAACCAAAGCATGGACCATATTTTTCCAACACCTGATTTAAAAAAGTGCATACACACACATACATTTCCTATGCCAGTCTCTCCTGAATAGTATCCTGGTAAACTAATATGGACACCACCTTAGATAATCCACCTTTATTCATGAAAACAAATAATTCCTTCACAGAATTCAGCAAAACAGTTTTTTTCTCAGAGAGATCTTTACTGCAAAAAACAAAGCATCACTGGGAAAGTCTATTCAGAAATCAGAGTAATCAAAATGACAGAGGTGTTTGCCAGTGTAATGGCATGTATATGCATACGAGTTAGAGTGATAAAAAGTACGTAGTGACTCATCTCAAACATGAAAAATACCAATTAACATAGTATATAGGCTACTGAGTTGTATCAGAAATAATGTCAGTCAAACCTGACAGCACATTCACCATTCAAATACTAAACCAAAAAACCCCCAGAATCTCAAAGTGTCAATTTTTTTTACCTTCCACAAAAGGTGCACAGTTCTTCTTCCAGCTGGCTGATGCGATTCAAGTACTCGCCACAAGTCTACTTTCAAGGGAGCTATCAAAATTAATACATCATAATTAAAAATATAGAAATAAAAGGCATGAACAGACTACTCCTATAGCCCACCAAGAGAGCCACTTCTATGCTGCTAAAAAGCTAGTTAGTATCATATTCATATCCTGCAGCAAGTGGATATTCAAGAATAGCACAAGAATAGAACACATAACAACTAGTTCTTTGTTGTTCTCCAAAACTGGGGAGGCTGTCTATGAACAACTCCCCTAGCAACTGGGTGCTGGAACACCATGACAAGCTGGCAACACTAAACACATACACTTTCCCTCTAGACCAGTGGTTCCCAAACGTGTTTTTTTGGCCATGCCCCACCTAAGCATCTCTAAAATCCTGGTCCCTCCCGCCCCGTGACATATGGTTCTTATTATTCAAAAAGTGAACTCCTATTCATGTGGAGGAAACCTAAAAGGCCATTCATTTGCCCCCCTTAAAAATGAAATTGCCCCCCGTGGGGCATGTCCCCCATGTTGGGAAGCACAGCTCTAACCATATTCAAGAGTAAATGACTGGAAACAGCAGCAATATCCAATACTAATACTGAATTATTATTATTATTATTATTATTATTATTATTATTTATACCCCGCCTATCTGACTGGGTTCCCCCAGCCACCCTGGGCAGCTCCCAACAGAATACCAACAACAACAATGAATGATATAACCAATATAACAGCGTGAGATAGCCCTGCCTGACAGATACCCCTTCACTGCCTATCCTATTTAACATATACAGTACAGTATAAACATTCACTGTGGATTCCCTAGAGATGGAATTAGTCTTGGATATATAATAATAACAATAACAATAATAATAATAAACTGAATTAACATAAACTGATTTTTTTTAAGTTCTGTAAATATAAAACTTAGCAACAGCATCAAACTGTATCAGCATTTTTGCTTACCTTGTTCTTCTGTTGCTCCCATTTTTTCTGCACTCCACTCACTCCAAAACTTTGAGTCATTATGAGCACACCGAATGTCAACAGTATAGTTTGTACAATCCCACAGATTAGTGAGATCAATTGTTGCACTGTCTTCTTCCATGAAGTAATCTTTCTGGAAATTGGGTAGAAAAACAGTTTTCCTTCAAAGAACACAGCAAATATCATAGGAGATAAAATATAAAAGCCATGGTCTCTCTTGTTATCACTTGCATCCATATTCTTACATTCCTCACCCCACACCCCAAGTGTGGCTCAGATGGTAAATTCTACTTGCCAAAAACTGGCATGCATTCTTGGCTAAAATAACTGCTTACCAAAAGACAGCACACGTGTGTGTGTGTGTGTGTGTGTGTGTGTAGGGAAAAGTTCAGAAAAGGGCAACCAAACTGATTAAGCAGATGGGGAAACTCTCCTTTGAGGAAAAGTTAAAGCATTTGGCACTTTATAGTTTAGAGAAAAGGCAAGTAAGAAAAGACGTGATGAAAGAGCATAAAATAATGCTAGGAGGAGCAGACTGAGAAGATGAGGCCAACATGGACTACATGCCTGTAGTTATATGAGCTGGAAAAATTGCTACTCACTTACAATTCAACTTACCATGCCATTTTCCTTTATGGATTTATATCGAATTTGGCACCTCGTATTGTTCTCAGCACTTCGAGGCATATACCGAGGTTTTTTCCAATGAACTCTTAGTGTTTGCTTCATCCCTGGAACTGTTTCTATTTCAGTTATCTGAGGAGGATCAGGCTTCACTGGAATTGAGAAAGAAAGCTCTCATGCTTTCAATGCTAACAATTTTACAACCAATCCTACCGGCAGCAGCAAGAGAGATTCTGTTGGAATGGAGAGTGGGGTAGGCTGCACGCTTGAATCCCATCGCAGAATTTATATTTCATTTCTAAACACAGCTATAAAAAGATAATTAAAATACTTCTGTTCGGTGGGGGGGGAGGCTGATGAACCAGATCAATGTGATGCAACACCACTGTCACACTTGGAATTAAACCCAACTGGGTTGGAGATAGAAGCAGATTATTGTTGTTACAGTGGAGCCTCTGCATATGGATTTAATTCATTCCAGGGGTCCATGCAAAACTGCAAAAATTCTGTAGCCAGAGGCACAGCTTCTGTATGCACATGCAGTGCGATAGAGCGCTTCTGCGCATGTGGCAAAACCTGGAAAAATACTTCTGGGTTTGCTGCTTTCGCAAACCGAAGATTATGTATCCAGAGAGGTACATAACCCGAGGGTCCATTGTATTTCAATTTATAAACCACCTTTATCTTCCAAGGATCTCAGGTAGTGTACATGGTTCCCCTCCTCCCCATTTCATCCTCACAACAACCCTTTGAGGTAGGTTAGATTAAGAGATGGTGACCGGCCCCAGGTCACTCAGTGAGCTTCATGGCTGAGTGGGGATCCAAATATTGCTCTCCCAGGTCCGAGTCCAACACATGAACCATTACGCTACACGGTGTTTCAGATGGTGATAGCAAGAGCTGGCAGGTATGAGGGACAGGACCTTCTTAAAGGTGCAACTGTTATTATGGAACTTCCCTCTCCAAGATATACAAGCAGCTTGCCCTTTAGTTTTATTTAGGCAGGCACTGTTTTCAGTGAAAAAAATCCACATAGGAATGTAGATTTATGCAAAATAGAATTCTTCAGCAGGGTGCTGTTGGTGTACTAGAGAGACTGGGCTGGTACCCTAAATGTTCCTGGTAACTTAAGAGTATTAAAGTATTAAAGCCTGCTGCCTCCTTCTCAAAGCCTAGGAAGCGTCTGCTCTGCTTAGGGAGGGAGGTGCAATACTGCAATGGGGCCAAGAGCCCTTCTCCCATCTTCCCTAAGCCCTCTCGTCTTTGGTAAGGAGGCAGCAGGGCTCCAGCATCCTGTCAGAGGCCTGGCAACTCCTTCCCAAAGCCCAGAAAGCTTCTTCCCAGCTTAGAGAGGGAGGCACAATGTTCATGCGCATGACGTTGCCCCGCCCCAATCACTCAAGCTGGCGCCTCTGGCCCTAAATGTTATCCTACGAAAATGTTCACTGCACGCCACTGGAATTCTTTTATCTCTGCAGTAGCAAAAAATGTATTGCATAAGAACTGGTTGCTCAAACACAGCCTATTTTTCTCATATTTTAAATTGTTTATAAACTTATAAACTTACAAATTTTTGTAGAAATTATGCAAACAGGCTCTGAGGTTGCTTCCCCCAAGCTATTTCTTGCCGTCACCCGGACACGATATTCCCGAGCAGAAATTGGTTGATTGAATATTGTACATGAATCATTTTGGGTTGAGCAGCTTTGTATCTCATCGCCTACTAATGTTGAAGCCCTTTTCATTGAGCAGTTTTCTTCCTCATTTGGTTCTAACATCCTGTTTGTGAAAAATTCAGGCGGTGGGAAGAAGAAGAAAATTAGTAAATATTTTTGGTGGAAGAAGTGGTTAAGAAGCTCACAATTAGAATCAAATCCAGGACTGAAATATGTTGAGCACAATTTAGAAAAGAACAGTAAAAGGTGAATTATGCTTTTAATGACAACCAAAAGTTGAGAACATTCAAGTGCCACAGATTTCAACAGAAGAAATTTAAACCATGTGTTTTTCCCTCCCACAGAAATTAAAAGGATGAAAATGTGTATTTACATGGGTATTTTTATTTTTATTTTTAAAGATCTTTGTATGTATTGGTAACCACACACAGCGGCTTTGAAGATTAAAAAAATGGCAGCCATTTGTACTATGCCACACCACACTCACGGCAACCACTTCATGGCCACAACATGTTTTCAGAATTCCAGGTGTGCCCATGGACCCCAAAAATCTTGGCAACTCCATGTATCATTGAAAGATGACCAGCTGAATGAACCTTGGAGGTTATGGTTGAGGGCATGGAGCAGCACTGCCCAAGAGTTGGCCTCTGAGTTTGCCACTGTGTTTGCATCTCGTTGGCTGCCCTGTTTGTGATGAATAGCTATTTAAGATTACTGGGGTAATCCAAAAGCAGTTGAACTAAACATTTGATTAAAGGGAGGAAATGCAATTATCTAACTCACATGCTACACTCTTTGCATAACATTAGCAGCCAACCACTTAGCACTTACTGTTTAGTGAGAGTATAGACTGTTTCAGGGTTCCTCTCATATGTCCATGTGCAAGTAAGAGTTGAGCCACTTTTGTAATAAAAGATGCAGAAAATAATTTCAGGCGGCCGTGGAGGAACTGCAACCAAGAAAGGCAAAACAATACATTTCTCAGGCATTTGAATGACCAGTTTCGTTTGGTAAAAAGACTTTAAACTACTTGGCATCAGTAAAATCTTACAATTTACATCTTTTAAAACATTACACCCACCAGGATCCCATTCTACGTAAATATTCTCAAAGGTTTTTAAGTATTGTTAAAGTGCTTAAATCACCCATTTTCAGTTCAAGACTTTTAAGCTTACTTACACCCTGATCTAACTTCAGAGTGAGCCAGGTGTTGCTTTTTAACCGGAGAATCAACAAAGCATTTAACGTGAGCTCTTCCATAAGTGAAATTATGAATAACTACTCCAGAGACAGAGTCATTGATAATTTGGTAGTTTTCTTCTGAAATCACAACATCATTCAGTGTCCAGATGATATGACTTGCATTTTTATAAGGAAAAAGTTTTTTGCCCAGTCTACAAAAAACTTTCAAGGTAGAACCACTTTCAATTAAAGGGGATGAAGGAAAGATGTGAGCCACAGCATCTCCATCTATTTTTAAAGAAAAATCACTTAGATCAGTTATACTAAAGCAAAACACAAAACAACACAGTACTGATGAAAAATAAACAAAGAAGGCACTATTCACTATACCTTGTCCCTTTAAGAGACTCAACTATTCAATACTACCCCTCATGCTTGGGATACACATGCTTTAACTCCCTATATAGTTTTTCATAATAGGGCATATTAGACTTTTCGCCATCATACAAAGACTTAGGAGCCAGTTTAGACTTCACACATTTGCCATACTTCTTTGTGTTATTCAGGGCCAAACTAGACACAGCATAAACAAGTAATATCAGTGTGTGTTTGCTTTTTGAATAGCAGATGTGGTTTGGGACTGTAGCACACATGATAAGTGGGTTTTCCTCCCCCACGGTGGTATTAGCAATTGACCATCACCACCTTATTTGGGATTTAGTCCAGTTAATTTAGAAGCTTTAAACTGTTTATACAGTCAAACCTCGGCTCCTGAACGCCTCCGTTTCAGAACATTTCGGTTCCTGAACGCTGAAAACCTGGAAGTAAATGCTCCAGTTTTCGGAAGCTGGGTGTCCAATGCAGCTTCTGCTGAGTGCAAGAAGTTCCTGCAACCAATCGGAAGCCGCACCTTGGTTGTCGAATATTTTGGAAGCCTATCAGGCTTCCGGAACAGATTACGTTCGACAACCAAGGTTTGACTGTATATGGATCACCCACCTTCATTCAAGAAAGCAGCAGATTTCCTTACTGCCCATCCTAACTAAATGCTTAATTGAAATTTTCTTCTAAGCTAGTTTGCACTCCAAGAATAAGTACAGAAAATGTTCAACTTACCCACTAAACAGAAGTTGCAATGCATGGTTAAGATCCCAAGCATAGTATATAAAATTTTATTTAGAATCATTGTGCGTAGGCAGGAAACACTGTAACAAAATTAAGATTTTTTTTCTCCAACAAAGTCAGTAATGCTGCTGTATTATATAGTATATATTTCTATCTGGTGAGCATACCATTACAGTTAATAATGAAAATAAAATTGTTTTACATATCTTCCCTCAGCTAAATTTCCAAAGGAACCAGAAATCATCATTCTACTATTACTTCACACATTTCAGAGTTGAATTCTGAAAATAGGTTCCAGATCCGAACTTTTGACTCTTTGCCTTTGACAATGTTATTGCAATAGCACAAAGCTTTTGAAATGGGCTTCCTATTTTTTGAGGTCAAACAATTTAGAAAAACCTGCAAACCACAAAGCAGTACTGCCTCCATTGGAGTTATGTAGCATTTTGGGCTCCCCCTGCCCACAGTGCTCATGGGTAGTTTTTCAAGAGTACTGCACGTACATATAGCAATTATAAAAAACTGACAAGTGCTCATCAGATGCTCTCCTGTCCCCAAGAGTATGTGCTTATTCTTCTACACACTCCTGAAAATAGATCTAACTTATTTACGCCCATATGTTCTGAGGTCTATAAATCTTATCAGCAGCACTGGCTCCCACAGTCCCTAGGATCTTAGCAGTTATAATGGTTGTCCCCTCACCTGTTGCTATTTAGCTGCCACATCCCATTGGCCCCTCCTGCCTATGTTAGATGACGTTAGAAGGATCTACTATGAAACTTGTAGTTCTTGAAAAAGAATGCCACATAGTGCGACATACTTCTTTCCGACTCTCAAACTACAAGCCCACATAGTTCCACTTTGCAGATAACATTATGGTTTAAAATAGGCACTGTGGGTTGGACTAGATGACCCTTGGGTTCCTTCCAACTTTACAATTCTAAGATTTAATAAAAGGTCCTTACAACATAATGCAGTTTAGTCCCATATGATTAAGCAATTATAAATAAATGAGTTCCCCCACCTTGAGAAGAATGCACTCAGATAAACTGGTTTGTGCATATCTTTTTGGGCAAGATACTTTGGTCATAATAACAGGCTACATCCAGCTAAATCCTACTTTGAAATTAATGTTTGGATTTTTAATTCATTTCAGTGAGTCTACTCTTGAGCAGGACTAGCATCCGAGGCAACCTGTGTGAGAGATTGGGGGGAGGAAGGGAGATATATATGTAAATTTACAAAGCAGGAGGAGGACAAATGAGGGCTGACAGCAAATGTAAAAAAGGATGGGACAGCTGCATATTCCTGCATTGCAGAGGGTTGGACTAGATGATCCTCAACAAGGTCCCTTCCAACTCTACAATACTATAATTCTAGGGGTAGGAGCTACAACTCTCTCTCCCACAGTGGGTCTAGGCACTACTATTATAGACAGATCCTACCTGTTGAAGGCTTTGTTTTAAAGGGACCGGAAATCGTGTTCTACCTGAGCTATACATATATCACGTTTCAGTAGGGATGCTTGGCATTTGTTGAAGGATGGAAGCCACCTTGAGTAAACCTTTTGAGAAAGAATGCAGGGTATCAATGATAAAAAAGAAACAAAAATTGGGTCAAGCTAGACATGACATTAATTGTGTGAACGTGATTAACTTAGAATCTTTATTTTGTTATGTTTCCCCTAGGATTTTGCCCTATAGGCAGGTCTTACGTTTCCCCAAACCTGTCTATGCGCCATTGATCTTAAATTGTTTAAGATGCTGTACTTAAAAGGTTGGAAAGTACTCTATTAATTGACAGCTTCTTTTTCTAGTGTAATGTTAATAAACTGACAGTGAAATGTCAAGCATGTCGACTCAGAAGTAAGCCCCACTGTGCTCAACTGGACTTGCTCCCAAGTAAGCAGGTGTTAGATTGCAGCCTCTCCTGCTGCTTCTCCTGTATTCTCCCTGTTCCTTCTCCTCACTTTTCTCAAAATGTGAAATCCTTGCGTCTAATAGAAAAAAATATCTACTGACAGAGCTGAGCAAAGCTGAGCCTATGAAGTACAGCCAAAGTAACAGGGGAGCGCGGGTAGAAAAGGCAAGGCAAAAACGGCAGGCAAGGCAAAACGGCAATGTGTGTGTGCCACTGACTCCGCCAAAGCTTAGGCTTCCTGATAATTATGCAATGATCTCTTTTAATAATAAAGGATACCCCGAATCTGGTAACAAAACACGGCACCGAACATCAGGGCCGTCTCTGGTTGCAGAATCCTGGGAGATAGAAACATGCCCTTGTGATGCATCCATGCGTTGGCGAGATACATGTTTTGTCCAGGGCTCGGGAGGGGCAGAGGGACCATGAAACTAAGGAATGGGGGCTCCAGATTCCACAGGGAGACATAAGCAAGTGGGAAACTTTGCCTTCACCCTGTTTCTTCCAAGAATCGCGCCTCCCCTTCCTCGCTGCTTAGCCAACCAGCCCCTCCCCAGCCTCGGTTTCCGCACCAGCGCCTGTACTGAAGAGCTGATATTGATGAGAAGCAACTCTCTCTCTTCCCCACCCCACTTCACCCCTTTCACTTTCTTTCTCCTTCTCCCCCAAAGTGTCTCTCTCTCCCTCTTTTTTTCGCCCTTTCGGACTTGCCTACATTACTATGGATTGTGGTGGTGGAAGGTGTCCTTTAGCTGCTGTCGTGGTTAAAAAAATCAGGAGTCAGAAATGCTTCAGCTACTGCAAACTTCTACAGAACTACCAGTAGAACTTGACTTACTATCTGCTTACTCCTGCTAGAAGTCAAATTTCAGTGCAGAACAGACTGTCCACACACTATACCTTTGAAGCACATTCAAATCGCATTTCTCTTTCTCTTTCTCATATATGGCAACTTTTGTTTTGTTAAGGGTTGCAGGGAACTGGGGTAAACTACAATGCCCTAAATTCTAAGAGGAGTAGTATGCACTTCAAATGTACTTTAAAAGCATTGCACATGGAGCTGAGAGACATTTAAAGATGAACAACATGAACAGGTGGCCCAGAATAAAGCCCTTTAAAGTCTCACCTGTCCAAAAGTCCTTAAAGAGAATTTACGTCTTCGGTTTGAGGGTCCAGGAACCCAGCGCTTGCAAACTGCAGCCGACAGCAGCATTCAAGCCGCGTTGGAGTTAGTTACCAGGAATACGAAGTTGCGAAACTCGACGTCGTTCTCTACCCGGCGGATCTTTCAAGCACTCGAATAAACGCCTCGATTCTAGCTACTAAAAACAACAATACGAAAAACAAAAGAAAAAAACCCCACTGAGTTTGGACATTGTGTGGAAAAACAGCTTTAAAAAATAATAATAATCCTGGGAAGCGAGGGAGGCGGGCGGGGTGGGTGAGAAGCGTATACCGATGACGGGGGACGGGAGAATGAGAAGTAAAATGCGGTGCTCGAAGCCAAATGACTGTCGAGGGAATAGCTGAGTAAGAAACTGCCTTTGCGCAAGAAAGACGAAGGAAAGGAAACCGGGGAAAGAAAGGGAAGCGAGAGGAGCGGCTTTTCGGTTGAAACTGCCAGGAAGCAAAGCGGGGAGGGCGGGAAGTGCCAAGTGAAGCAGGGAAAGGAGGCCGCTTAGCGAGGCGGGGAGAAAGCAGCGTGGAGTGAGAGAAAACCTCGGGGCTCAGCCCACAACTGCCTCGCTGGTTCCTGGGGCTCCTCCGTATCTCCTCAAGCGAGAGCAGCCTCTCTCCCGGACGACGAGGCCTCGCCTTCCCCGGCCCTCCGGACCCGCGTGTTCCCTGGCGCCGCCCATCATGTTCCTGTCCCGCTAAACTATTTGGGAGAACCCGTGAAGGGATTCCCAGTTTGAACCCGGCGGTTACGGGCAGGGCTGAGCCCGAGGCCAAGGCTAAGAGTGCATTGCGACTAACAGTGAAGCCACTTAAGGGAGGGAGAAGAGAGAGGGAGGAATACCACATGCCCAGGCCTGTGACATCACTTTAGTTACAAATAAAAATGAAATAAACAGTAGTAAGATCTGACGAAATAGGGTGGCAGGCCCGTGGTGCTTATTTGAGGCAACGTCGCCTGAGCTCTTTTACCTTGGTGGACGTTGCCTTGGGGTCAGTGTGTGGCCAAGGCTGTCATGGGGGTTGTTTTGTGAGGGCTGTTTTGGGGGTTTTTTTAAAATAATAAAAATAATAATTGCACGGGTATTTTTATTTTTCCGTGAATGTGAATCTATATGTTTTAAATATGCTGTGGAAACCTTTCCCCCAACAAACGATTAAGGAATATAATAATTTTAAGAGGTGAAACGTGCAACTGAGGCATAATTTGCTGCTTTTCTCTCTTTCAGAGAGAGAGAGATCAGTCCAGAACAAGTCACTATGCTACTTATTGTGTAAGAGTCCTGAGTCCTTACGGTTAGGCCAAGCAAGGCAGCCGCAGGAAGCTCAATTTTGCCTGTCATGAAATGACAGCAACTTTTTAGTTATTATTGTATTTTTACTGCAAGGGGAGAAACGTTTGTGGGATGTTCTCCTGGTGCCAAAATAACTTGGCTAGCTACTATTGGCTTTGACATGAGGGTATCAAAATTGTCTTTTGCACCAACCTGTAATGTTAAAAAATGTGAAGAACCATATCTTCCTTTCTAAGAGCGGAAAGCAGTTCATTTCTTTAAAAAGAGAGAGAGAGAGGTGCTCTTCAGAGGCAGGGCACTGCTCAGCTAGGACCTTTCCATTATCTACTGTGCATGGCACATGTGAGGTTTTTTCCTTCCATCAAGGAACCCAAGATGGCATATGGTTTCCAGTCCACACATTGACCAGACCAGACTCAGACTTTCAACTAGATTTACATGCCTTAAGTTAAGACTTTACTCCCTCTCCAAGGGAGGTGTAGAGGATAGTCACACAAGAACAGGCCTTTTCAGTGGTGGCTTCCCATCTGTGGAAGCACACTACTGTCTCTTGGCAGGAACCAAGCAGAAACATTTTTATTTATGCAGGTTTATGGTTGTTGTTTTTAATTGGGAAGGTAGTTATATAATGACTGTATCCTTTGTTGCACTCATCCTTTAAGGGAGGTGGGGTTCGGACTTGTTCCTTGTAAATACAGTATATTGTTGTATGAGTATCTTATTGCTGGTTTTATCTGATTTTGATACCTTTTTTATTTTAGTTTTACTATGTAAATCATTTTGAGGCACTTGAGGGCAAAAATGTGACTAATACCCTGGGATCACAATAATAAAAAGACTGTCTCTAAATATGTGTAGTCTTGACTTCCCCCTCAAGTACTAAGTGACCAGAAACAACTCTCAGGCTCAGGCTACTAGGAAAAAGGTTGGCATGACTTCATTAGTTCTCATGTTCGGATGTGTCTTATTTCCAAGATTTAAGCACTTATCAAGGGACAAGCCTGCCTTGAGGGCACCGCCCAGTTGACCCTTATCTGCATCAACATCCCTGAAGTCTTTTTACAAAAAAAGTCAGGAGAGCAATTTGGTTGAGGACATAATCTTCTACCTCTTCAGTTTCCCTGCTCAACCTCCCTCCCTCTTAATTTCTTTTTTCTGTAACAAAGCGCTGCTGGGGAATTCACCTGGAAAATTGCATGCGAAGGGTTAAGAAAACATCTGCCACATCCTCTACACCACATCCCAATCCAACAAAAGAAAATGACATGGGAAGTCCCAATCAGGAAACCCAACAGTCACATATTCTTTGTCCCTAATGCTCCAATCCTATCTCCACTTACTGTGGAGGAAATTCCAACAAACTCTATGGGACATACTCCTACATAAACATAAGGCTATGTTGTAAGTCTGTGCTTAACAGGCTTTCAGTCTTTTAAGATGGAAAATATTGCAACCATCTTCACATTTGTATGGCAAAACAGGTAGAAAGAGGATTTGCTTATCAATGTTTTATTTTTTGGAAAGCGGTTTGCAATTCTTTTTTCATTCATTTTCACAACATTTCCAGTGAGTGGTGCTTGCTGGAAACGGGCCACATCTCCATGGAAGAGTACATGTATTGCATGCATGTGGAAAGTCCCAAGTTCAACTCCTGACATTGCTGGCTTAAAAAGGATTACTAGGAGCAGAGCTAAGATATGGAGCTTTAATAATAGTGAGCCAATATAGTCTGACGTTCTGTCACAGAATCCATCACTACCCTAAATTAACACTGTGGCTGCTGCTTTAAATCACGGTGTGTGCCAACAATTTACCCATTCAATTGCTTCAAGCAAGTTAAAGCCACACAACACTACAGATAACCTAAACACTACATATGACCAACACCCAACAAGTTTGGAAGCCTGCTAACATATTAATGAGGGATGCAGGTGGCGCTGTGGGTTAAACCACAGAGCCCAGGACTTGCTGATCAGAAGGTCGGCGGTTCGAATCCCCACGATTGGGTGAGCTCCTGTTGCTCGGTCTCTGCTCCTGCCAACCTAGCAGTTCGAAATCACGTCAAAGTACAAGTAGATAAATAGGTACCACTCCGGCGGGAAGGTAAACGGTGTTTCCGTGTGCTGCTCTGCTTCGCCAGAAGCGGCTTATTCATGCTGGCCACATGACCCAGAAGCTGTACGCCGGCTCTCTCGGCCAATAAAGCGAGATGAGCGCCGCAACCCCAGAGTTGGCCACAACTGGACCTAATGGTCAGGGGTCCCTTTACCTAACATACTAACAATGTAAAGCAGTCACATGTGCCAAGGATTTGCGTGAAACACCTCCAAGGAAGTAAGTGCATGTCTGTATGGAACATTTACTTTCTCAAAGGGGATGAGTGGGTTCTGAAGAGCTAATTTACATTTTGTAGTTCTTACAACTTTCATAATGGCCCTCACAATAGTATTGGGGTGCATAAAATGACTGAAATTGATATGAAGTAGGATGCTATGCAATTTAAAGGCCCACACATGAAGGCAACATTGCCTAGCTTTTCATTCATCTGAGATTTGCTCAAGACATCTTCACAGTTGACAGTTGCTAATTGTATTGGTTCTTTGTTGCAATTCAAGAAAGCAAATCATTTGCCACAAAGCAAAATTCAAAAACTTACTATTTTAATCCAGGGGTCAGCAAACTTTTTCAGCAGGGGGCCGGTCCACTGTCTCTCAGACCGGACTATATTTTTTTTGGGGGGGGGGGAAATGAACAAATTCCTATGCCCCATAAATAACCCAGAGATGCATTTTAAATAAAAGCACACATTCTACTCATGTAAAAACACCAGGCAGACCCCACAAATAACCCAGAGATGCATTTTAAATAAAAGGACACATTCTACTACGAAAAAACATGCTGATTCCCGGACCGTCTGCAGGCTGGATTTAGAAGGCGATTAGGCTGGATCCGGCCCCGGGCCTTAGTTTGCCTACCCATGTTTTAATCAATTTCTCTGTTTATTGCTATCTTTCCTTGGGGGCAGGGAAAAACAGAATGAACGCAATGTCTTCTATATGTATCTTTTTTCAGATGAACACTCATATCTTAGCTTGCAGAGTTTCCTGTATGAATCTTGGATGATAAAAATGTGTTTCCCCAAGATACCAAGTAAACTGCATAATTTCAGGGAAAGGTCCTAGCTAGACATGACTGTATGCAACCAAGCAGAATTCTAGAGTTCACTTAAAAACAACTATAGGAAAAGCCAGGGGAGGGGGTGGGAGTGTTTGGTGCTGCTCTCTGAAGGCACTTGAACAGCACCTGCTCCCCTTAACCCAGCCTTTGATTCAGAGCTCCAACCATCCAACATGTACAGAGACAGAAAAGCCAAATAATTTTAAAGTGAGAAAATGTTTAGGGCCAAGAAACGGCAACAGCCATCCGGAGATTGAGATGGTTAAACGTACCACAAAATACTGTGAGCGTTATTCTTAAGGAAAACTGTTATTTAAGTGGTATTTTACTTTTATTCAACTGCTACAAGCTGGCGGGTATACCAGTTCTGTTTGGGATATATGCCAAACAGTTGGAATTATCATTGCTAGCAAAATGAGAACATTAAATGGTAAAGGGCTTTATTCAACAGGACTGCACTTCAATTTTCCGTGCAGCATTTGGAAGCATACATTAGGGCAATGAAAGGGTAGCTGAAAGGACTTCAGGAAAGTATATATGGAGTCTTGGATAAATGGTGTGGTGAGCCAGATATGCATTTCTACTAAATAGACTTCTATTTAAAAATGAGCACTTATATCCATTTACATTGTTTTTGGTCTGTTCCATTATCCTAATTACAATGCAGAGAACAAAATATAATATCCCTTTGCCCAAGCTTTAAAATTATGTTCTAAATAAGAGCAAATATTTGAAGCCATTCCACTCACTGCTTATGCATGGGCATAATGCAACACGGATATATGAAAAAATGAGATTAATAAATAATTTGCTAAGAAATGCAGGTTAAAGTCTCTCGTGCCATGGTCTCAATCTCAGTCTGGCTCAGGACCTCCCACACAAGCTATTTGATGTTTTAAGAAAACAAACTACACTATAAAAGTAATAGTTTGACCCTGTGCAAGATATATTCCCATTTAGAGTCTGCCTCCCTGCTACAGAGCAGGAAAAAAATCGCAATACTTCCTTCCTGTTACTGTTTCTTTATCATTCTATAACAGAACACCACAATCAACAGAGAGAAACTTCAGTAGGAGATAAGTTGTTTTTCCATTTAGGATGAATAAAGCACGCAAGCTGTGAATCAGGGTTTCTTGTCCACCATGCTTCTTAACATTTCCATGAAACCAGTGGGGAATATCATTTGGGAATTTAAAGTGTGGTGCCATTAGAATGCTGATCACACCCAGTTCTCTCTCTTCTTCACCACCAAGCTTAGCAAAACAAAAAACCACAATGATAACACAAAATGAAACAGCTAAACGACAAAATTGAAAATAGAGTCTTAAGGCTGCAAATATTTCAATAGCCTTACTTATGGTGGTTTGACAGATGAGATATACCTCTCTTTGGCCACTGAAAGCAGGGGTTCACAGCTCTGGAGGGTAGGACTCGAACCAGTGGCTTCAAGTTACAAGAAAGGAGATTCCAACTGAACGTTCATAAAAACTTTATAACAGTAAGAGCTGTTTGGCAGTGGAACAGACTCCCACGAGAGGTGGTGGACTCTCCTTCCTTGGAGGTTTGTAAACAGAGGTTGGATGGCCATCTGTCATGGATGCTTTAGTTGAGATTCCTGCATTTCAGGGAGTTGAATTATATGACCCCCAGGGTCCCTTCCAACTCTAAGATTCTATGAATATAAGTAGTGTAGCAGCACACCCAGCTTTATGGCAGAGGCTTCATGGAGCTTGAGGAATGCAAGGGAATCATTCATTGCTTGAGTGGTTGATAGCAGCTTGATTGATGTTTGGGGGAAGATAGCTGAGATGGAGATTGAGGACAGCAAAGTTTGAGCTGTGTGGGGGGGGGGGGGAGTAGCGGGAATGCCCTCCAGGAGGTTTCCTGAAAGTGAATGTGGTGTGTGACTTGCTTAGTGCTAGCACTAAGGGAGAGGCTATGGCTAAGGAGCCTAATGTGCTCTGGTTAAAATTGTGGAAAAACTTGCTCGGAGAGAAGCAGTATGTTTCAAAGACCCTGTGCCTTCTGCTCCCCTCTCCGCTGAAGAGGGGGGTGATGTCACAGCTTTTTCACTAAGAAGCTGTATCCAGCATTAAGGCAAGAGCAGTAAAGCTGTTTTGCGGGAAGTGTAATTGCTCACACTTGTGTTGTAGCAACCAGAAGTATCAGTTGCCAGAGGGGCAAGGTGACATTTCCCAAAGTGTAGATGAATTAGCTAATGTCTTTTAAAATATTAAATATTGCCCTTGAGTCACAGAACCAATTTTATTTTTCTTGGCAGGGGACACAAGGGATGTACTAAACTCAATGTTGTTTTTTTAAAAAAATTCTTATTGTATTCAATCGAATGAATATCATATTAATTTCTGGTGCTTTATCTTCTTTGGAGTAGTGTGTTCAAGATTTGCTAAACCATCTGCAGTGCCAAATGGCTGGGCAGTAAATCCTGCCAAAGTTTAGTGACAGGCAACAGAAGTTGAGGTTTCTAGGCGTGATATGGTCAGGTAAAAAAGAATACAGCTCTTTCAAGGAACCAATAACTGCAAGATGGCAGCCAGGTGTTGCGTATCATGCACTGAAGCCACAAAATGCATTAATGGATTACTGGAATAGTAAATCCAAATTGTGAGTCACCCAAATCC